GAGGGAGTGACACCATCCCATGCTACATCCCGAAATTCGGCGACGAGAGCGATGTGAATATGCCATGGGCGTACGCATCTATTGTTGACCCCAGGTACTTTCCCAAGGGTGCCAACCTTGAGCAGGTGGATGTGATGCAGCTTGGCAAGAGCATCAATTTCTGCGTTGCTCCTTTTGACGGTGCTCCACTATGCAAGATTGGCGACGATCGCTCGGTATTTGCTTCGAAAGATCAAGCAAACCAGCTATCTCACAACCTATGCAGAGTCCTTCGGCATAAAATCGGCAATTGCCGAGGAAGCGTTTTCAGATGTGATGAAGGGGGATGGGTCGACATCGACGCAGTCATTGACGACCGAAATAGCGATATATTCCCACCTTCAACTTCGAGAGCAAAACGATACATGGGTATCATGGAGGTGATCAAGTGGCAGGAATCTGGACAAAGGAAATCGAGATTTCAGGTCCTGGCAGCAAGGTTTCCAAGCGTCATGAACCCGAATGACATGAAGGCGGCCAGGGAGGAGATGAACCAAGCCGGCCTGGATCGGGATGACATCGACAGGATGTTCAACAGATGCGATGGGTGGTACAGACCTTGGTGCATCCGAGTCGCGACTGGTCACAGTGATTTTGGATTCATGAGCTCATCCGCATTGGCAAATAGGTATTCCGCAAGAATGGGTGATACTCTCGGAGGAGCATTCCATGTGACGTATGTGGAGAACCTGCCAAGCATCGTCCGCTGTGGGCTAGTCCCCGGCGGAATCGATGGCGGAAACAGGCTAGCATTGCACTTCGGGGCATTTGCTCCATGGGATGAGATGAACGTAGCAACGAAGGTGACGCTACGAAACGTAAGGTCGGGGGACCCGATTGCGATCATCTACATTCCCAGTGCAACCCTCGCGCGGTATGGAGCTGGAGTCGCGGCAAATGGGACATTCATGGTCTTTGACGTGATCCCGTTCTATGAGAGGTCAAGTCCATTTGGATTGGCAAAAGCAACGGAGGGAAATGCCTGGAGTACGGGGACGTGAAGCGAGTGTGTGGAAAACGAGATCTGTCCGGGTTTCGTCAACTCCTCCCAGGAATCGGCTGCGATGTTCCTCCAGAACGTCGCGAAGATCAACGAGAGGATGCCTGAGACCGAGGCAGGTGCCGACAATCTGCACTACATCAAAGACATGGTTGATCGTGCATGCGAACTGTTTCGGGAAAACAAGATGGAGGAGTTCGGTGCACAGATCAACGAGGTGAGGGACGAAGTCAGCAAAGTCGTCATCCTGAATGACGAGACATGGGAAGGACTGAGGTGCCGGATATGTCCGTCATGTGCGACCGTGATTCCCACATGCTTCTGTGTGTGCCTGGAATGTGGAGCGCAATTGATCTCCACAGGGAGGTTCTACATCCACATCAGTTCCGACGACGACGGGGACAACCAAAGGCCCAATGTCTCGGGTGATGCCAGGCGCGCGCAAGACGAAGCCAACCATGATGCGGCAGCACAGGGAGAGGATGATGAAGCGGAGACGTTCCTGAAGAAGACGACATGGACACGCAAGGATATACGTCCGGCTACATGTCTGAGGAGGAAGACGGCGGTTGGCAATACCGCGACACTGACTTGACATCGCGGGATATCATAAATACCCAGCGGATGGCGATTTGCCTTGATGAGCCGCGCGAAGCTCAATACATGGCGGGATTCATCGCACTGCAGATGTCAAAGATGTGGGGGATGTTCGAAGGTGGTGAAAAGAGAACGGTCAATGCCGCGCTCGAAGGGAAGCCAGGCTGCCCATACCACAGCGACTTCGGGAAGTACCCCAACATCACTGAGCACGATCAGGAAGGGATCCTGTTGCCGTCAACGGAACAGAAGATTTCTCAATCTCAGAATGTTCGGTCAAGGACCTTCCGGTCGAATGAGGAGCGTGATGAATACATTCGTCTGATGGTAAACAAATGCGAGGGGCTATACATATTCTACAAGCTGTGGATTGCAGCGGGAATCCTCGACGTCACCAAAGACGAAATGAAGCTCCTGGTCAAGGATCGCGTGCACCCGGTGGGTGATATTATTTACAGATGCTTCTCCATGGCTTTCAACTGTAAGTGTATATCGTTCGTGAGGGATGGCTTGAACCTTGGCAAACATGGTTATTCGGTAAATGTGAGCGCCATTATTGCAGCCACTGACCCGAATAAATGCGACACACCTCTGCTGGATTGGTGCGTCCGAAAGGGGCATTGGATACCAGAAGAACATCACAAGAAGTGTGTCCGGGCGCGCGAAGCCCAAAAGAATTTGGACGAGGAGTTCCGTCGACGTACCCACAGACTGTCCGTTGGAGACAGATATGCATAACGCAGATGTTGATTGCGGCACGATGTGGGCTAGTCCCCATCTACTGCTTGCGTCTCATCAATGTCGATGTGGGCTAGTCCCCATGTACTGCTTGCGTCTTATCAATGTTATTGCGACGGAACGATTCTACATCATGGTATGATTTCATGCGTCCAAGATGAATGGATGTGTATACATTTACATATTCCGACGACTATGACATTCCGGATAATTGCTCACCGATATTTCTTTGCCGGTGATTTGCAGATCTCTTACGAGCAGGCGCTTCTGTTGAACTTCTATGGCCAACCCATTTCTATGGATGACGGCTGCGCGATGCGCAAATGCGGCAGCTGGGATGTTCAATGGTTGTTAAATGACGCAAGGGTAGTGTATTGTATACACCTGCATATGGGAATGTGCTACGATTTGCGGATGCATGTTTCACTTTTCATTCAATCGAACCCGGCAAGTTTCCCAACGAATGAACGGTGTAGCGATAGCGAATAAAAGAGTGCACGACACGATTTCGTAGCTGAAGCCGTGGCCAGTGGAACGTTTTGTGGTGTTTGGACCGCATGATGAACAATGCGACCCAAATGGGGGATGTTAAAACCCTCTAGGCCCCGTGCCTAAATTGGGAAGCAGTTCTGAGGTCCGTGTTTGTGTTGCTTCCAAGGTTCCATTGATTGCCATTTGGCTCAAGTCACAAGTGAGGTTCAAGATCTTATGTGTAGCTGCGTTCATACGTGATCGGCAATTGAGAGCGGAAAACACTTCGCTTGCGCTGCATTTGTCAGGACCACTGTTGTAACTATTATTCCTTCTCCCTTACAACATTTACACGGGTTCGGCTATAACGGTTTGACCGTATACACCTTTCTACGTGGTTGGTATTACAGCTGGAGGGTTCGGTGGACAGCGTCCCACGGGACGTCACCTTGCCGTCTCTTGACAAGTTGCGTGTGGCCAAAGAACTGGCAAACTAGTAGCTCCCCCAGAGATGCTGGAAGCTCTATGAGCTTGGGCTGCAGGGAAGGCTGCGGAAGACGTCGTCGTATGGCGCGATACCTGAAACAACGAGGTGCCGACGAAAGCGCGAAAGCAGAGCCACGCGTGCCGAGTTGCATGTTGTGGGACTGCCGCCCTGCTCCGCCCATGGACGCCAGGAACTTGAGCTGCTCGGAAGGTCGGCCGCCGGCGGCACCCATGTCCGCCACGGCCGCATCTGCGATACGCTGCACCTGCGGCAGCGACAAGTCGCCCCACGCCCATGATCGCAAGAGTAGCGCTGGCAACTCTCCGCTCTGCGAGGGGTTTGTCTCGTTGGCGGCCGCAAGAGCCCTTTGCCGCACCCCGCCACGCCGCTTCATTGGCGCGACGCCGGATCTGTAGGTTTCTGGAGCTTGAAAGAGCCAATGGCAGGGTCTCAGCAGTGTCTCCTCAGGTAGCTTTGTCAGGCAGCTCTCTCAACAAGGTCCTCTCAACAAGGCTCCCTCAACTATATTATCAACAAGGTCCTCTTAGCCAAGTGCCCTCGAAACGTACTCTCAACAAGGCTCCCTCAACTATAGTTCTCTCAACAAATACTCTCAGCAAGGTCATCCCAAAAAGTTCCCTCAACTAGTTATGTCAAGAAACTGCTCAACAAGCTCCAACAAGGTTCGGTCGACAAATTATATCTTAGCAAGGCCTCAAGTCACAATCCCATCAAGCAGCTTCCCATGTACAAGTGCTTTTACTGCCTATGCACAAGCCCTTTTGGAAGCCAAACGCTTACCTGGATTGCCAGGAAAAGTCTTGCGAGTGCTAAAAAACAATGAAATGTTCTTATGATCTAAAGACTTACCTGTAAAACTTGGTTGAGTTTTACTAAAACTCAACCAAGTTTGCTCGAAAACTTGATCAAGTTTGCTTGAAACTCAACCAAGTTTATGTGAAACTTGATCAAGTTTATGCAAACTTGGCCGAGTTTGGTTGAAACTCAACCGAGTTTCAAAACTTGGCCGAGTTTTGTTAAAACTGGTCGGGTTTCGTGGCTGCCTTCACCGCGTCTGCCTTGCGGCGCTGCGGGCGCCTTTGGCGCGCTTCATCGCCTGCAAGGGGGCAGCTGCGCGCAACTGAAGTGCATGCTACCTATGCCTCAAAAAAAATACAGCGCCCCCCAGGCCTGGAAGGCGGCTTGCTTCTCAGCTGGGCGCAGCGGGCTTTCGGAGTCCAGCGCCTGCAAGGCGGCCACGGCACGTTCTTCTGCTGCGTCCGCATAGTGCTTCTGCTCCATCTTCTTGGGCGGCGTGCCTGCTAGGAAGGCTTGGAAGTCGGGCCAGTCATCGCCAGAGGCCTTGGTCTGCGGTGCAGGCGGAGCCTTGTGGGGCACCATGGCCGAAGCGGCGCTTTCTTGGGTTGCGTCGCTGGCCCCGTCGCGCATCCGTGGCGAAGCGTGAACCATTCCGACCCGAAGAAGGCTCTAACACAACCCCCCTCTCCAAAAAACAACGACTCTCATCAAGTCCTCTCAGCAAATTCCCTCATCAAACTCTCTGAGCTAGATCTCTCAACAAGCTGTGTCAGCAGACTTTCTGCTTGATCGGCCATGGCGCCCCTTCATTTCCCTCAGCTTGCTCAGCTGCGCGCGAAGGACTTGGTCTGCGTGGTCGAGGTTGTCGCGCAAACTCATCTTCTCCGTAAATAGCTTCCAGCGCTGCGCGATGGCCTCCAAGGCGCCGCGGAGCTTAGTCGGGGCCACAACTGCTGTGGGCGCAACTTCGAGGAGGGCTGCGAACAAGGCTTCCGTCTTCTCGAGCCCTGCCAGGGAGTGACTTGCAGCCGTCTTCCAAGTGCAGCCCTTGAAGAATGACAAGAGAGTGGACAGGTGTTCAGGCCGTCTTCCAAGGCGCGCTGCATCTGCCCCACGCTTAGGGACGGGTCCGCGGTGGTGCGCTGGCGCTTCATGGCGTGCTGCATCTGTGAGCTCAAGACTTGATTGGGCCTCCGTGGCACTGCGCGACTGCGTGCTGGAGTCAAAACGACATGCGTGAGAGGAGCTGACATGCAGTTTTCTCTCTCTGCGTGGGTCGGGAAGTGAAAAACCAAAGCCTACGCGCCGCTGGTGTCGCTCCTTGGCGACATGGTGGGTGAAGCAGGTGCTGCTCTGCGCTGCTTTTCAGCGCTGCCAAGGCTTAAGGTGTCACCCTCTTCTTCCCGCCTACGCTTTTGCGGAGAGGGGGTGGCGGGCTCGGGACTTTGCTGTGGCAAGGGTGTGACAGAAGCTGGCGGCTCGCCGTGGTCCAGGAACTGTATAGGATTGGCCCCGTACCTGCGCGAGACCAAACAAAAGGTGGCTGTCGACACCGTGCCGGCTGAGGCGCCCGCGGCCTCTTCAGGTGAGGAAAGGTCAGCAAGAGTTGGGCCAGGCACCTGGAGCACAAAAACACCTGTCGGAAGTCCGGGCTGTCGCTTTCGTCGTACTCAACTGAGCCGTCCTGGGAGGGAGTTTAAGAATGGCTCTCAACACAAATGCTTCTCAGCCAAGCATAAATGTCTTCCGGGCTCTTCCCTGAGCTCCCAAATGCGGCGCGCTCGACAAGGGTGGTGCCGGGGAAACCCCCAACATGCCTGAGACCACCAGCAATCTCCTTGCTACGAAGCTCTCTCAACAAGGTCCCTCAACGACGCGAACGTGTTCCTCAACAAAGCATATCTCCCCCCAAATGTTTTGATGTGTAAAGGGCAACATCGAACTCTCAAGACGGCGGGGCTTTTGAACAGCTGCCTTAGGACATCCCTGGTAGAGGCTCTCTCAGCATGGCCCCCGACAACACGGCCTTATCCCTCCACAGAGTATAACTCTGAGCAAATGCGTCTCTCAAAAGCAACAACGCTCTCTCAACGTGACCCTCGGCGGCGCGAACGTGTCCCTCAACAAAGCACAACTCTCACCCACTGCGTCCCTCAACAGTTACAAAGCTCTCTCAACGTGACTCTCGGCGGCGCGAACGTGTCCCTCAACAAAACACAGCTCTCAGCCAATGCGTCCCTCAGCAGTAACAAAGCTCTCTCAACGTGATCCTCGGCAGCGCGAACGTATCCCTCAACAAAGTACATCTCTCAGCAAATGCGGTAAAGAAGCTCTCTCAGCGTGACCCTCGGCAGCGCGAACGTGTCCCTCAACAAAATACATCTCTCAGCAAATGTGCCCCTCGGCAGCGTGTGTCTTTAGATGGGCCATGTCGGTTTTGCGCCAAAAATAAGCGGGCAGAGCAAGCCGCCGCCCAGCCCACGCACCTCGTGGAACTCCACTGAGAGAGGAAAGTACTGCTCCCACCTCGGAATGCCGCGAGCGATGTCCATGCGGCCCGGGTCTACGCCTGGGGCAACATGCGGCGGCCACACGCGAGGGCCTCGAAGCAGGCTGTGCCTCCTGAGCTGAACTTGCCGCCGGACCACTGCCACTTGCAGCTGAACTGCACGATCCCGTCCTAAGGCAACAAACAATCCTAGCCCTAGCTTGCTCTCATCAAAGCCCTCAACAAAACCATGAGCCATGCAGACAAGCTTCCGAGCACTCACAGAACTTGTCAGCGCCAGGCATGCCTGGCGCCTCTCGAACACGGGCGGTCATGGTTCTTATTGGCGGCTTGAGCCAGCGCGCTCGGCCCGGAAAGGCCCGCGCCAACCGTCACGCAAGCAAAGCCCGGTATCCAAATGCATGATCGCGCAGCACGTAAACCAAAAGCGCTGCGTGCGCGCACCAACCTGCCAGCGTGCGAAAAAAGTTAGCTTTCCTAATGTTCTCTTGCTTTTTTCTAGTTAATTTTGCTCGTTTTAACTTTAAGCCTTTTTTTTAACTTGAAAAATTTTAACTTTTTAACTTGACTTTTTAACTTTAAGACTTTTTTTGTGATTAAGTCTTAAAGTTATTTTTTTGTCTTACCGGAGCCTTAGGGTTGAGCCCACAGGTACCTACCCGTACGACACCCCCGCCGGCGAGGCCACTCAGTTGCTGGCAGACACCAAGAGGCACCTGGCTTGGACCAGGGATTTCGCGGCCCGCAAGGGCTGCGCATGCCTTGGAGTCATGACCGGCGCTAAAAGCTATCTCTACGGCTTCTCTATGATTTGGGACCGTTACATGACGGAAGTCCGTGACTATATCATCGGCGACCCCAATCATATGTTCGTGTACGTAGATGCTACACCCTTTGTCGAGACCATCGATTTGCTGGACAGGTATCATATGTGCTTCAGTGACGACAACATCACGAAGACCGTCCAGTTCATGCGCGGAACCCATCACATGATGTATATGCTTTCTATCTTGCGCCCCGCAATGGGCAGCGTAGCCGAGCTGACACGTTCGCACGACTGTACCGTGCGTCCGATCGATGTGCTCGAGGTGCGCCACCAAGAAGATTGCACAGTCAACGTCGAGGTTCTCGCGTACTGCAAGGAGACGCTAACGAAGTGCGGTGTTTCTTTGTCAGAGATGATCGGGCTCCCTTTCACCCGTGAAGAAGTGGAAGTCCGGCAGCCTCTCGATTTTGCCCCCGTCAACCCAGCCGAGTTTGCAACTTCAGGGTGAGCCTTCCGGTGCAGATGTTTCCGAAAGTGTTCGCCCGGCGCAAGCCGGTGCAAAGGCGGCTGCGGTGGCAAAGAGGGACGAGGAGGTGAGCAGGCCGGTACCACTCGACTCCTACGGGAGGAGCGTGACTGGGGGCCACTGTGGCTGCTGGGTGTATAGCATTCATGATGGCGTGAAGTATGTCGACTACGGCGAGGGCCCCAAGAGACTCGACATCATCAAGCAGCCCTCTTTCGATTACGACCCTTCCGTCAGGAGAATCAGTGACGAATACCACCGTTCCCTGACGTGCATCTCCAAGATCCTCCGTGGTCGTGGAACAGAAGGATGCGGGTACATGGACCTCGAAGACCTGGGACTCGCGCTTCGCAAGGAGCTGCGACATCCCATTCCATGGAATATCCAGAATGTCATGGACATCTTCACGCTGGACAAGAAGCAGAGGTTCATTGGCCTTGGTTGCCCGGACGCAAGCCGGTGCGGAGACGTCCCATGTTCTCATTGGCTTTTCAAGCTGAAGGCCTCTCAAGGCCATGAGGACTGGCTCCAGATCGACGACTCCGGCATCGCGAAGGAGTGGTACGTGAACCCGGGGACTGACCTCGGGCGCTGGTCTGGCTGGAACGTTTGCAGCAACCCTCCAACTGTGCTTTATCACCGTACTGCCCCACGCTGGAGCAGGCCAAGGCGAGGCTGAAGGAGCTCTACCCCTCCAAGCCCGGGTGGCCGGACACCACGCTGGTCATCAGCCACAGCAAGCGCATGGCCGTCAACGCAGCGGCGAACCGGGCCCTGGCGCCGGAGGCCTCAAAGCTGCTCCAATTGGAGACACAAGTCATCCACATAGATTTGGGGTGCCACGAAACGGTAACACATGGGTGTTGCCAAACTGCAACACCCCAAAACAGCCCGCAGAGCATGAGGGTGTGGCCGGGGCTGCGCCTCATCGGGGCCGGCGGAAAGATACCCAAGGGCGTCTTTGTGGCCGTGGCGGAAGTGGAGCCGGACGGAGTGAGGCTGGACAACGGCATGCGGCTGAAGAACCAGGAGCTGCTGCGGGCCACCCGGCCGAGCCACGCAGTGACCTACGCCAGCTGCCAGGGCCTCACCCTCCACAACCGCGTCCGCCTGGACCTGGAGTCCTGCCACTGCGCCACCTGTACGTGGAGGCGGCCTAGCCGAACGGGCAGCACGGCGCCTCCAGGGGCTCCAGCATGAGGTGGCGCACCTCAAAGAGCACGCCCCACTGCCTGCCCATCAGCCACACGTGCCGGGCCTCCACAAGCGCGCGGCCCCTGCGGCGCGAGAACTCCGCGGGGCGCGGCACGCGGTTGCCGGCCGCGTCCCAGAAGAGGCAGCGCTCCAAGTCGATCTTGCACTTGACGTGCTTGCCCTTGGCGCTCACCTTGACGGCGCGCTGCAGCTGGCTCTCAAGCTCGGTGCGGGCGGCCCCCGGAAAGGGCTTCTGGAAGACGATCATGTTGTCAATGACGCCCTGCTCCACCCCATCCGTCCACAGCTCCAGGTCGGTGTTGCTCGCAAAGCACACTCCCACCCTCTTGGCCCCGTCGTCCTGGAAGTTGCCGGGCTCCCACAGCACCTCCACGTCCACCTTGCACACCAGCGCGCCCTGATGGGAGTCCTCTATGGACATGAACTTCCCCCCCTTAGCATTGGTCTGAACGTCCAGCCCGAGTGCAAGCTTCATGGTTGCGAAGTTCGGCTCCTTGTTTATCCGTAGGAAAAAAGTCCGGTCCGATGAACGCGCGAGTTTTCTTGGTCGTTGCAGTGGCGGTGATCTTGCTCTTTAAAAATGCCGAGACTCCTGGAGCTTTTCTGCGGCACCAAGTCGGTGGGCAGGGCCTCGAAGTCGTCTCCCTGGACATCGTGTCGAAATTTGAGCCCACCATCCTGTGCGACATCCGGAGCTGGGACTACACGACGTTCCCGCCGGGGCACTTCGACATGGTTTGGGCCAGCCCGGTCTGCGCGGAATACAGCCGCGCGCTGACGACGCGCCCGCGGCGGCTCCTGGAGGGCGACGCGCTGGTGCTCAGCGCCCTTGGGATCATTGCGCACTTTGACCCCTTGATGATAAGCGAAATTTCGCTAATATCATGCGGAACGGACTGCTGCCAGGCGGAGGGGACCAGCACGAGACAGGCCGACCTCACGTTTTCTTCGCTGACGTCCCCAGCACGAATGAACATTACATATCAGGTGTACGTGCAAACAAACCTCTGGAGATACAGATCGACCTCAGGATGGCCATTCGCGCAGGGCTTTGCTTTTTCAAGACGGAGAGCGATGGCGTCCTCACGCGCGACAAGGTGCCCAACTACACGATGAGGCGACTGAGGATGAAGCCCAGGGGATGAAGCGCGACCAAGCTGTGGTTGATGATCGTTCAACACCGCTGGAACGTATTGCTACGACGCGCACAAATGTGGCCTCTCCTCGCGCCCCGCAAGGGGAAGCGAAGAGACAGAAGACTTTCAACCCAATGGAGAACGTTGAGCTGAATGTCGCCACGTGCCCGGTTTGCAACAACAGTGTCTTCGAGGGGCAGGTGCACTGCTCATCGTGCGGGCAGTTGTCTCCCCTCAATCCACGCCTGTTGAAAGAGCAACAGAAGAATTACATCGTGCAGCGTTCCAATCTGTTGAAGAAGATGGGCCTCAGCACCCACGTCACAGCTCAGGTCCTGGCATCTGTGGGAACATTTGACCTTCGCGAGGAGGATCGTAACAGCATCATTCGTGGCTTGAACTCCCCAGACAGTGCTGTTATTCAGGAGGCACGGAAGAAGCTCAAGTCCGCCCTGAAGAACGGCTACCACTCTCTGCTTGACCGCTATGAACTCGACCTTCAATACAGGGTTCGTATGCTTGAGGTGGGCCGTCGGGAGGCGGACATGCTCCGCATGGAGTTGAGCGCAAATCTCGTCTTGGCTGCTCCAAAGCAGTCGCAGGCCCAGCGCACTCTGGGAGTTGGCCTTGGATCAACTTCGGAGTCGCGAATCGCAAGGCTCGCGTATATCAAGACAGAGTTGGAGTTCCTGCCCAACGAACTGTAAGATGCGCTTTCCTCTCGCTGGATCATAATGTTCCAAGGGATGCCTTGTAGCCCGAGAGCGTGGTTTTTGAGCAAAACAGGCCGTTGTTGGAATGGCATCATCCATCTGCGAGGCAACACGTTGGACGACCTCCGCAACGAGATGGACTGGATTTTCAGCCAGAATGAGCGGTATGCACGTAACTCGATTGAATTTTCGAGGAACGAAAGCAGCAAGCACCTTGCTCGCAATGCAGCCCGCTATGCCGAGACGAGCGCTCCCGCCGCCCGCGAGGGTGAGCATTGGAGCCGTGGCAGCTGGCAGAACTGGTCCGAATGGAGCGGATGGGGTGACAGTAGCGGAAGCTATTCGACTTGGCAGTGGCGCTGAAAGCGCAACTGTCATGGTTTGCATGAAACAATGGTTCCCCTGACCTTCTCCCTCTGTTGTGTTACTGTTTGGCTGCTTTGTGAAAGGCCCCTTTAACACGCAGAGGGGGGTGAAGAATTTGATCGGTCAATATGGGGTTTTACATCCGTTGCATCCGCAGTGTGGCTGTTCAAGCGTGAAAATGCGCGAGCAGCGCACTTGGACGGTTTGTTGTTTCCTTTTGGGCCCCAAACCGGTAACCCTTGAATCTATAGAAACAAAACAACACCCGCCCAATAGAATTCCCCTTTGACGCATCCCTGTGTTGACCTGGGCCGTCTCCGGCGAAAAAAATCGCCGCGCAATGCCAAATTGTCCAGGTCTCCAAGGAGGAATTGACGGAGGCCCTAAGCCACAGCTTCCCGGACATCAACATGACGGAGCTGATGACGGCACCTCGAAAAGACCAACACCGGCCCTTCGCTTGGCTTTGTATCAACAGGGTGACTCCAATGACCACTGGGCAACGGGGACCCTTCCGTTTGCATCCTCGTCACAAGCTGATTCATGTCTTTGCCTCATGGCTACACTGGACAATCTGCCCAGGAGTTTCCGTCAGTTTCCCATGAACGAAAATCGATGCTGTCCCCCTGCAAGCTTACCTGGAAGCTTGACACGCAGGTCTTGCACACAGAGAGTTGTCTCTAAATTGATGGTTGTGTTGAATCCCGTGAACATCTGTAAGAGGGTAGAATGTCATTCTACATGTTTTGCACTACCTTGGAGCAGCATTTGGCGTGTTCATTTGCAGGAGGCTTTTCCCCGGACCCGCTATCAAACATCCGCGTGACATCCACCAGAAAGGAGCTATCTAGATATACAATTTGCCCTTTGAGGGGGCTTGTGATTTGGGGATAGGTGGAAGCTCCCTCAGACTGGCTTGGGTGTCACTTGGGCTGATGCCACAGTTGACACTCACCAGCATGACCTTCATGACCTTCTACGTGAAGGCAAACGACTTTCCCGTCACAGGACCTTAGCATCTGGCCTCCATGTCACAATGTGGCATTGAAGCAATCATGGCATGCAATGCCTTACATCACCCGAAATGCTGGCCCGTTGAACCAAACACACCTTACGAGAGACATTACTCCCCGCCCCACGAGGATCTCAGAACCAATGAGAACCAGGATGTGTCTACCGAAGGTCAGCCCGAACTGTTTTTTGGCTCTTTGCTTTGGGCTGTCATTTCCAAGCATTTGGACAACGGTTGCGTCCCTACCAGTTGCAAAAGGTTGGAGTTCTCGCAAAAAGTCAGAGACCAACCCAGTCCGAACACTTCGGCACCCTTTTTCCATGACCTGGTTGGTTCCCCTCGAAAAAATAGGCAACCGAAAAATCGACTCCCATTTTTTAGCAGGGCCGTTGGGAATTTTGGGGATTGGTGGCTGGAAGCCAGTTCAAGCATTGAAATCGCACAGGCCTGAATCTGAACCGATTTGTTTGTTGCCTTTGTGCGGGAGAGAGTATATAGAGATGATGACACCTGGCACATCAGACGTCTCCCGGGAACCTCCAAGGGCCTTCTGTCCGCCTTACTCTGCCTTGAGGGATTCGCAGTGCTTGCTTGCGTGAGGTGTTCGACACGGCCGCAGCCTCGGAGACCGGTTTTTGCAGATCAACCGACCATGGCATGGAAATCAAAGGTCCACAATCTTCTAGTTGCTCAAGCATTTTGTTTGTTCCCTTTTTGGTTTTACAAAGGGAATGCGTTCTCATTTGTTCCAGGTCATAAGCAAATGGATGTAGTGTAGAAATCAAATATTTGTTTTGGCAACTCCGATTTGTGTGTTGCAGCCCTCCCCTTCCTGGAAGCAAAAGGTCTGGCTTCAGCCCGAGTTGACTCGAGGACGCCGACGGAAAGGTCAGTTACACGGAGTTCTCCCAGTTATCCAAGGCGCCGATTGGGAGACCCCCACCTGTCAAATTCACTAGCACCAAGGCATGGTTGGTAGGAGTTGCTTGGTGGAACCTTAAGCTTTGGGAAAATGTGTTGTTTCCTACTCACCACAAGAAGTTAAACTTTCACAGGGTGCAATTGCCAGCAAGGAGAGACCGGATTGCTGCGCGCTTTTGTCTGGGACTTTGCTGGCCATTTCCGGCGAGGAAACCACAAGCAGTGCTGCTCCTCCACTCTGTCCAGGGCTTCTTCTTTTGCGAAATGGACTCCCCAAACAGAAGATAGCAAGAACTTGAGTGGTTTTTTCCAAGGAATTGGCGAAAGGAAGGGGGGAAGGGATTAGCCCTTCAGATCAAGGGAGAACTTTTGAGACCAACGAAGCAACTGGGACATTCGCCTGAGCGGCGAGCGCTCGGTTTTTGGGGGCCAGACCGACAGACCGACAGACCGAGCCGGCAGGTGATCTCCACCTTCGAGCTGTTTGACACGGACGGCAACGGCTTGATCAGCCGCTCCGAGCTCAAGGCGGTCCTCCAGAGGCCAGACGGGGCTTGGGCGGGGGGGGGTTAACATCTGCGGGAAGCGGGGGCTTGGTGTCGGTGTTTCGTATTCCAGGCAACCTCCCACAAGGCTTTTCCAATGGGAGTCTTAGGTTGGCAAAAGGAAGGCCTGCAAATAAAGGCCCCGGAACGAATAGTGAAGTTGGAGGTGTCCCTCTTTGGGGCGCACAGAAAATCCAGATTTGTTCTTCAGTTCCCGTTGTCTGGTCCGTTTTGAGCGCCAGCCTTCCCAGTCCCATTTTCCCAGCCGTTTGCCGTCGGTGAATCCCTGCCTTTGAATCGGCGGGAATCCGATTCCACCGAACAAAAATGCGGGCAGAAACCAGAGATCGCATCCATGATGTTGGTCCTGCACCGAGCAGATCCAACTCCTGCAAGTTTTGGAGCAGAACTTGCAAATCCCAGGCTGGACCCCAGATTTGATGACAAGCAGCTGGAAGAGCTGATGAGCGGCATCGACTTTGACAGCAGCGGCCGCTGAAACTCATGGCAGGCCAATGTTGCTTTTGGTCTCCCGAAGGGTTGGGCATGGCAAATGTCATGCGTTCCCCTTTAAAGGGGAGAACCACAAGGAGGTTACTTCACGCGTAACCTGAACTTGTAGCAGCGGTGGGGCCCCGGAAGTCAGTTTCCGTGCTGTTGCTTCCCTAAACTCCCTCAAAATGCAGACCGACTGGGGCGTTTGCATGACTGCACTGACTAGCTTTGCTAACTCCTTTTTGGCAACAGGAAAACCGAATCCGATGTTCAAAGGGTCCAAATCCCTTTGACACAAGCCCGGCCCGGTTGAGCCATTTCTTCAACCCTTGCCATGGATTGATGCGCGCAATCGACCCAACGAAGGTCTAGGGGATTCCTTGGGTCTCGGGTAGAGGTTCCGTGTGCAAATCTGTGGTCCCTTCGGACTCCCCTTTCGGTTCGCCACACGGAATTGGACTATCAGGGTCCCTATACATTTGATGTGTCAAGGACGCACTAAAAGAATTGAGGTTGTCCGGGTTCGTTCCTCTTCGAACCTCAAGGTAAAGTGCACCCTGAAAGAAAGGCCAGTGAAAAGAACGTTCACCTTCATCAGCTGGTTTGGAGGATCCTCCTCGTGCGGCAGGTTGTGGGATGCAGCCTGAAAGGAACCGTGAGGCCAAAAGGTGAATCCGCAAAAAACGAATGGTTTCTAGAGGTTCCCCAATCGGGAGAGGACCTTTAATCTCCATAGAAGCTTCCCTCGAGATGATGGACGGACACCTCCCACCAACACGGAAGCTGACTGGAGGTTCTTGAAAGACCATGTCCATTTTGTGCCCATCCATGTTAGGAGGGTAAGTTTCTAGGTGTAATCTGCATGAAAAGACTTTGGGCAGAGGGCTGCGAAGTGAAAAGTTGGCCCAGCTGGTGGTCATTCCTGGATGCATGAAGTCTGACAGCCAGGAGCCATGCCTGGCCTCGGCAGCGATTTTTTCCCCACTGCGATACCCTCCCACGAACATGGAATGACAGAAGGTCCCTCCAAGAGGAAAATGGCCGCGGGGCCTCCAGAAAGCTAGGATGGTACTGGTACAAGGCCAATTTTAAAAGTTGCACAGTGATCAGACGATCCCCACTTGGCAGACATTTTCGCCCAGGAAATTTGAACGTTGTGGAGTTTGTCATGTACGTCGCCGACTACAGCGACGAACCTGGGCAAGCTAGGCATGCCAACCACAGTCCAACCTGGGTAGATGAAGCTCAGAGGGCCAGTCCCAGCTGTTGACAATGCGGTTTCTCACATGCAGATAATGCAGTCGAAGCATGTGGATAATATATATATATATATGTATATATATATATATTGATTTATACTGTACCTGAATGGCATTTATCATTCATTCACAATCTGACTTTTCTTTGCATCTTATTCACTTTATGAGAAGTCGCTCACATTCATTCTATGTTATAATGCTTGCATCTAGTAGATTGGTTTTTATGTTTGCTTTGGTTTCTGAATCTGTGTTATTTCCATTGGATAGGTGGTCAATTTCCTGTAGAACATGTTCTGTCTTGTGGGTGTATCTTGGCATGTAATTATGCTTAGTTTAAAATTATTTGTGAATACCTAGTATGCTATATGTTTAAGTATGTTCCTTTATCTATATTGTTCTGTCTGCTTCTCTGTTTTCAGCATTCTCTGGATCACGTTTATTCATCATATTTATCTTTATCATACTTTCATCCACCTCTCCAAGATACCAAAATCGAGAATTAATTTCAAGAGATTAAAGTTACACATGTGGATGAACTGATAAGCCCCAGAGAAAAGAGCAAAACTAATAAAGGCTCAGAAGGTAAATTAACAGTGGTTGCAGATGTGATAAGAAAGTAAGAAGAACTAGAGGACGATTGGCCCGAAAGCATTTTTGCACAGGTGCTCATCCAGCCGCGGAGACACCTTTTTACATCGCTGCGGCGAGCGTGTCTGCACGCGGCGATGCTCAATGTGTACGGTAACATGAGAGCTCCATCTCATCATCCTAGTTTCCTCTCGAACTGCGCCGCGCGATTTCTCACGAAGGTGGTCTGCGCAAGCTGCATTGTTCCAGGCTGCTGCGCGCAAGTTGCTCTCTGCAAGCTACTGCACGCAAGTGCTCTGTGCAAGTTGCTCTGCGCAAGTGCTCTGAGCAAGTTGCTCTGCGCAAGTGCTCTGCGCCAGTTGCTCCGCGCAAGCGCTTTGCTCGTGCGCTCTGTGCAAGTTGGTGGTCTGTGCAACTTGCTCTGCGCCAGTTGCTCCGTGCAAGCGCTTTGCGCAGGTGCTCTGTGCAAGTTGCTCTGCGCAAGTGTTCTAAGCAAGTTGCTCTGCGCAAGTGCTCTGCGCCAGTTGCTCCGTGCAAGCGCTTTGCGCATGTGCTCTGTGCAAGTTGGTCTGTGCAAGTTGCTCTGCGCAAGTGCTTTGTGCAATTGCTCCGTGCAAGTTGCTCTGCGCAAGTTGCTCTGCGCAAGTGACTCTGCGCAAGTTGCTCTGCGCAAGTGCTGCCGGAGCTGTGGGAATGTACTTCGCGTATTATTTGTGTACTTAAAAGTTGCGATTTTCCAGCCGGAGCTGCGGGGGTGTGCTCCGCGTACTACGTTTGTACTTAAAAGTTGCGAGTTTCCAGCCTGAGCTGGGAGCACGCTCCGCATACTACGTTTGTACTTAAAAATTGCGATTTTCCAGCCGGAGCTGCAGGAGCACGCTCCGCGTACTACGTTTGTACTTAAAAGTTGCGATTTTCAAGCCGGGGGTGTGCTCCGCGTTCTACGATTGTACTTAAAAGTTGCGATTTTCCAGCCTGAGCTGCGGGAGCACGCTGCGCATACTACGTCTGTACTTAAAAGTTGCGATTTTCCAGCCGGAGCTGCAGTACTACGTTTGTACTTAAAAGTTGCGATTTTCCAGCCGGAGCTGCGGGGGTGTGCTCCGCGTACTACGATTGTACTTAAAAGTTGCGATTTTCCAGCCTGAGCTGCGGGAGCACGCTCCGCATACTACGTTTGTACTTAAAAGTTGCGATTTTCCAGCCGGAGCTGCAGAAGCACGCTCCGCGTACTACGTTTGTACTTAAAAGCTGCGATTTTCAAGAGCTGCCGCGGACCAGGGGGGAATCGAACCCGCGACCGCGGGATTGCGAAAGCAGGCGCGCAAACCAAGAGACAACTTCGCGAGCAAGAAAAAAGCACGGCGCGACAGCGAGAGCGCTTCGACGCGCACAATCTCCGCAGAGGGTTCGCCGAGACTAAGACAAATTCGCACGGTGCCACAGCGAGAGCGCTTCGACGCGGTCGCGCGCGGACCGCAGAACCGCAGAAATCGTAAAAAGCCCTCAGTCTTTGAACCTCGACCACGCGAATCTTCGCAGAGGGTCGCGCGCGCACCGCGGAATTCGTAAAAAGTCCTCAGTTTTTGAACCTCGACCACGCGAATCTCCGCAGAGGGTCGCGCGCGCACCGCAGAATTCGGAAAAAGTCCTCAGTTTTTGAACCTCGACCACGCGAATCTCCGCAAAGGGTCGCGCGCCGCAGAAATCGTAAAAAGCTCCAGTTTTTGAACCTCGACCACGCGAATCTCCGCAGAGGGTCGCAATCCCGAGCGATGATCAAACTCCCGCCCCGGCGCCTTAGAAACCCAAACTAACTTGCATAGCTGCTTACGCCGAAGCTCTACGCAAGCTCTACCTAACCTTGGCTCTGTGCCACCTCGCTCTGTGCCACTTGGCTCTGTGCCACTTGGCTCTATGTAACTTGGCTCTATGTAACTTGGCTCTATGTAACTTGGCTCTATGATGTAACTTGGCTCTGTGCAACTTGGCTCTGTGCAACTTGGCTCTATGTAACTTGGCTCTATGTAACTTGGCTCTGTGCCACTTGGCTCTATGTAACTTGGCTCTATGTAACTTGGCTCTATGTAACTTGGCTCTATGTAACTTGGCTCTATGTAATTTGGCTCTGCGCAGCTTGGCTCTGTGCAACTTGGCTCTGTGTAACTTGTCCAAGGGCTCCGCACGGAAGAACCCTTCGCGATGCTTTCGGGAAAAGAAAAGACACTGAAGGCAAAATACTCTAGGTGAATCATTGTGAATTGTTTCTTTCTTATCAGCTCTTGGCGTGGGATTCATATCCTTGAACTGGCCTCCTTCCTGATAACATGTCCTATCTTTTTCCTGGCTTCTTCATCCATCATAAAAGAGAAGAACTAGAAGAAGATGACCAATAGATAGATGAAAGAAACTGGCAAAACCATGGTTCATCCCAGTTGTCACCTGGCTTTATATGCGATGTGGATTTATCCACCATAGGCGCGAAGGAAGCTCCTTTGCTTTAAGTTTTTAGTTATGGCTTTCTCTCCAGAGGAGGCCCCGAGAATGCCATGAACTATGAGTTCCCCTGCACAACCAAAGCAATCCAAGAATAACAGACAGTCCACCGAGCATGAATCTGCCAGGCTTCAATTGAATGCGGGGGCCACATGACCCATAGTGACTTTTCGTGTTTGTTTTCCCCCGCAAGCCAACCAAAAAGGGCTCTCCAAACGTACAAAACGAGCCTAAGCTTAAGACGAAGCAAAAGCCTGCCACCAACCCAAAACAACCTCCGAAGCGGCTTTTTTGGGACACCCATCCTTTTTTGGGAGGGACGAAGGGGGACAAGCTCCATCTTCCCCCGCAAAAACCGGATCCAGCCCTTGTCCCTCGTCCTTTGCTGGAACCGCAAATTTGTGTTTGTGTTCTTTTGGCGAAACCAAGAGGAAAGCCGAATCCCATGTTGCAGGTCCAAATCCCCAGTTTCACATATAGTTACCCACATCATCTGCTGATTTAGAGGGTGATTTTTGCTTTACGGATTGCTTGGATCTTTGGACTTCAAGTGGTTGAAACAGGGGCTGTTCATTGGACCCACAAAAGCTGAAGAACTTTCTGCAGAGGAGTCCTTCCAGCAAGTTTGGATGTATCCTTTCAGTTAGCTCTCATTTTTGGAACGCCCCAACTGCTCCGGCCCTTGGATTTGCTTGTGGATTCCTTGGTGCCTTTGGGCGGGAAAAAATCGCGAATGGATCGGCACCAGAGATAAACGACCAGTCCCACCTGGTGTATTTGGATCCTGCGCCCATCAAAATGTTGACACATACCCAACTATATAACATCATGTTCCCATGACTGAAATTTAGTTTCATGGCACCCCACCCCCCCACCCCGCATTCCGATGATTTCAGCAAAGCGCACCCGTGGCTATTTGGATAGCCGAAACAACCTCGAAAAGCGGAGCTCAGGAGCTGGGCATCAAGCTGGAGCAAACCGCTTTTTGGCGAAGGAACGAACACGACCTCTTCACTGTCGGGGGTGGCGGGGACAGGGGGCCCCTCGAATGGCTTTCCCTTTGGTTCCCTGTTGTTGGGTCTCATTGTTGGTGCCGGCTGCAAAAAACAAAGTTGTTTGCTGCAGGGTTGGGAAATCCTGGCAAATTGTCTTTCCCTCAAAGTGAAAGACTGGGGGGGGGGTCACCATTTATTTTGCGACTTGTTTAATGGACCCAGTAGGGAGGGATCCAAATCTTACTCCTCCAAATTCGGCCTTTCACGTCTTAAGGGATCCGAAAGACAACCTTTACTGATGTTTCTCAAGCTTTGCTCAAGGGCGGTCAGACGCAAACACTATCTTACTCCGAGATCCGACCTTTCAGTTTTTGGGGATCTTTGGGAAGACTGCGTCAATCCGTTTCACAGCGTTGGGGTTGCTCCGAGCCTTGAACAAGTCAACCAAGCCACAGGGCTTGAAAATTGACGATTTTTTTCATTTTTTTCCTTCAAACGCCTCAGCCGGCTCTTTCCAAGGCCGCTATCTTGGCGGGCGAGACGCCGGCTGCGGTGATCGAGCTGTCTTGAGCATGTCTGCATTTACCCTAAGGTGGTGTGCAACACCTTTTCGGCCATCCGAAAGCAGGAGTCTCCCTGCACAGAAACACCTTTGCGGGCCAAAAACTATGTTTTAGAGTTTCCTTTGGTGATGTCTATATTTGTTAGCCATGCTTGAAGCTGTTTCCCGCTGCAGAGTTATCCCAAAACAGCCCCAAGGTTCCTGACCTGGGACTTTCCGTGTCCCGGGGTGAGTCAAACCGCGGGTGTCGCGTCGGCCGTCGGGGCCTGCCCTCAAAGGGCAAAATGCGCGCCTGGGATCAAGCTTGCGCCGACTCTGATGACACAAATGCTGATGGACGAGCGCCATTTCACACAATGGCTAGGTGGTTCCAAATTGTAGCCATGCCAGCTGTTGCGAAGTGGATTTTCTCCGAGAATCCAAACCGGCATTTATCCCAAGGCGGGCCTGGTCTCACATCTTATGGCTTACAGTCTCAGCGGGCAAACGAAGACACGCGCTTGCTGAAAAGACGCACAGAGCCGCCAGCCGCGTCTCGAAGAGTTCCCAGAAAACGGTAGGTCGCCGTGAGTTGTGCTAAAGGCAGAAACCTCGCCAGGTGTTCGATAGAAAGTATGACCAACAGCGAGGAAGAGCTATTCCCCTTAAAGAAAAGATGGAGCCCAACAAAAGGGGTCCCGCCAAAGGAAGCTTCCTTTCCAAATGATGTTTGTGTTGGTTCCGTGTTAACCTGGGCAAGCAACCATGGTCTTTTGCTCTTTGCTTGTGGTCGGCCGTTCCAGCGGTTGGGAGGCATTCCGGGGGTGGCAAGCGAGGCCTGTAGGTGCAGATCCGCCCTAAAATATCCAAGCGCTCCCGCCAAGGTAGCGCGAATCTTTTTCCGTGGTTTATTTTGTGAGGTGGGGTACGTAAAAGCCAGGTCATGCGAATGTAAACAACAGGCTCGGCACAGTCCAACTGATTCTGCATGAGCATTGGCAGCATGGTAGTTGTAAGCATGTAAGGGGGGTGCCTTTGTTTTTTCATGTTGCGCTTTGGGGGATTCAGCAGTGCCTTTTGAATTCTAATTTCAAATGGATTTCCTTTTGCAAGTGGTAACGCTTAACGGGGCATACAAAATCGAAGTTAGTTTGTTTTTTTTTGCATTCGAGTTTCACGGAGCCCTTAGTCAATCCTTCACTGCTCTTGGTGCGACCCCAAGTTTTCTCAAGGCACACTTCAAGCCTCTCAACAATTCGAAGCAACGGCTCGGTCCTCCAAGGCAATTAGAAAATAGATTTCAATTTCCCTGTGGTGAGTCCTTCAAGTTTCTTGACCCCGCTTATTCGAAACCCACCACTTTGGCGTCAGAGAATTTAAGCTTAGATCCCCGGCCTTTTGGAGTTACCGGTCAAAAGCTAAGGATCGATTCGGCTCGGGTCGTCAAATTTCACCACTTAAAACGGCTAGGCATCCGCCAGGCACTGCAAAGGAGATATCAAGAAGGCGCGGGCCCCAGGGCCCCAGCACCTTTAGCCATAAGGGCTGACATGTTCAACGTCCACTTGATCAACATATGCGGGTGTCTTTTTTGAGCACCCGACTTTTTTTGTGAAACCACCATTATAGAGGGTTCTCTAAAAAGGGCACACCCATATCAAGTCTACGGGGGGAATCCTGGAGGACTCACTAGATGTTGGGAGGGGCGAATTTCGGGTTTCCCCGCGGCACGCTCGTTAATTAGTGTACTTGAAACTCGTTCACACATGGTGGAATCCTGCATGACCAGCAGCACCTTTTCTTCAGTTTTCATCGGTGGGTTCCCTTGAGAAGCCAACCTGGCCACAGGGCAAGTAAGCTTTGCAGAAGTTGATGTGAATGTCCACCCCTTAGTAGGTGACCTTTGTAACCATATTGCTGACCTAGCCAACTCCAAGACCGGAATAGGGTTTGTGGCTTGAAATTTGGCCAACCCTCACATGGAGCCACGATGTGCCAACAAAACGGGCAACACGTTGCCTGAGCCTCCCCCAAACTCACTGGAATGCTCTGGAGGGCAGAGTGGGCGAGGCAAATCAATCCAGTGCTAAGTTGTCAAGCGGACATTTCAGGATCGGGATGCGAGGTGCACACCGGAGTCCTGTCTGGAGTCTCAGTTTGTCCAGATACTTCCGGTTCACCAGCCTGGCAACGAGTGATTCCATGGTAAGAGCTGCTCACAGCATGGGACTCGCCGCAAAACCTGAAATGTCTGAAATGTCCATTCTGGGAGTTGCATGTTTTGACTCTGGATCAGCGCCCTGACCGCCGGTGAAGTGAGGGCAGCTTCGAAGAAGAACGAGAAGCCAACCATCAAGAGGCTTTTTATTTTTCAGGCATCCCGCCAAAGAAAGCTTAACCCAATGTGGAGTGGTATAGACCATCTTCACAGCGTCTCTTTGAGGGTGCTTGAAGTTTAATTCCACTCCCGCCCCGAAACCATGTAAACATTGGCCATAAAACTTAAACCTGACGGTATGCCCCCATGTTCGCTTCGCCCGGGGAGAAGCACATTGTCTTTTGGCGCAGGCGACCTGCTAGTGACGTTATCCGAGGACGGGCAGCAGGGGCCGCTTGCATTGAAGACAAGAGCCAACGGATCGACATGTGGCAAGGCCCGTAAAGGAAAGTGTGGTGTTTGCTTCACACTTTTGCTGTAGTGGCCTCCCAGGTCAGTAAGAGACGGCCGTCTGCTTTCACCCATTGCAGTACCTGAGAAAAAGACAATCCTGGAAATGGGGTGGTCCAAAGCAACCCACGTCAACATGGTTGCCTCTGCCCGTTTCAGCATGTTCACACCACCTCCTAAACCGATTCACCGAAGTCCCATGGGCAGGACGGGATGGAGATCGAGATCTTCGAACTCATGATGCCCGGAGCCTGAGGGCTTGGCCATACAGTACGGGGTTTCTCGAAATGGCGAACCCCCATGGTTGGTGTCTTAACTTGGCAGTTCCCACCCCCCGTCGGTTTTTAAGTAGCTTGGTTTAGTGGGGGTGTCAATTTGACCCACAACATGTTAAACTTTCAGCAGCGGATCTGAGGACAGCCCAGTTGAGGGAAGCCATTTGTTGGGGGCCAGCTCAGCTTCACTGTTGTGAAACCCAGACCAATTGGCATCCTTTTTTGGGAGGGGGGGAAGCCTCTTTGAAATCAACTACACGCGGTGCATCCTTGGCTGGCTCGTGGCCCAAATTGTGCCTTGTGGTCAAAATCTTGCCTCTTTCAGTGAATACTGCCTGGAAATGCGAGTTGCTGCACAGAATTCAAAAGAGGAGGTCGTCCAAAGGAAATTCCTCTAAGCGAAAAGGTGTTTGGTTGTCCTTCCTGGCGGTCATGGAACGAACGTGTTTGTTTTGAGGGGGGTTAAGAAGAGCAATTTTCCTTGCTGACACAGGGTTTGGGACCATCCTGCGCACCCTGTGCCCCATGCCCCAAAGCATCCGAACAGTATGCCCACACTGATATACATATATACATATATATATATATATACATATAGCACCGACTGAAATCGATCATGAAAACAACGGCAGTGTTGTTAAGCCTGCTAGGCGAGCAATGTACATGACAGAAATCCTGACTTGTCCAGTGGATTCCATGCTGGTTGACCCTTCGTTGAAGATCATAGTGCTCCGAGCCTCCAAAAGGTGACCATGCCCCAACGGCACAAAATGTTGGTAAACGATGTTCTTTGCTTCTTCACTGGGGGCCAAGTTTTTAGCCATATGCCAGAGTCTTTGAAGCAAGCCTTTTAGAGGGTACATAAAGTTGCCCGTGTTTCTTTCATCTTTGCCGCAGTCGACCCTATCCGAGGACGGGCAAAGCGTAGGCCAAGTCTTTCCCTTTTTCTCCCTGGGCAAGTAAGCAGAGCGAAACCCCCATCCGTGATTTGTAGATGGCTTTACTATGTTGGTCGAACCAACCGTCAAGGAGTTTTGGGTGCAGCGAGCATCCCCCCTTGACCGCGCTGAGGCAGGTATACCAGCCACCTCCTGGCGACATGCTGGGCAACTTCAAGATGCCTATCTTCGCACCTGGGCAAGAAGTTTGCGATGTGAGAGTTTTCCAGGGAGGGAATACGCCATGGGGGGGGGGTCGAAAATGGTAGGTGGACATAAATTTGCGCGCGCCGACGGAAAATTTTGCTCGCTTTCGGGCGCGCTGGTTGCGAAAAAGAACGAGAACGCGCTGGAACCGCTTTGGGGCGCGCTATTTGTTTGTATTGCTGTTATACAAAGAGCACCAGCCGTTATCAAAGGAAGTTTAGAAGGAACTTCCGTGTTGCGCCAACTAATTGAAAGCCAGCTCTCTGAGACTAGATGCAAGAGAAGGAATAAGCCCGCGAGAAAAACTGCGCGCGCGTGTAGCAGGGGAAGAGAAAGTCGTATAAAGCGTGGCCCTGTGCGTGAATCGGCGTTTTCGAAGATAAGAAAGTCGCAAAAAGCGTGGCCCTGTGCGCGAATCGGCGTATCCGGAGATGCAAAAGCTAGCCTGTCCGCGGCGTCTGGTCGGAGCGGGTTCGGAGCATGTTCTTTGCATGCTCGGAGCGGTCTCGGAGCGGGCTCGGCGCGCCGGGCCCATTGGCACGGCAACGCAGAGGTTTCGCAAGGATTGAATTGCGTGGCCGGCGCAGCATTTTGGTGAGGTCGGGTGCAGATTTCGTGGCAGGTGCAGCACTTTCGCAAGGTCAACTTTTCTCAAGGTTTGAATTGCGTGGCAGGCGCAGCACTTTCGAAAGGTCAGGTGCAGATTTCGTGGCAGGCGCAGCACTTTCGCAAGGTCAAGTATAGATTTCGTGGCAGGCGCAGCATTTTCGCAAGGTCAAGCGCCAAATTCGTGGCAGGCGCAGCACTTTCGCAAGGTCAAGTACAGATTTCGTGGCAGGTGCAGCACTTTCGCAAGGTCAATCGCCAAATTCGTGGCAGGCGCAGCACTTTCGCAAGGTCAAGTACAGATTTCGTGGCAGGCACAGCACTTTCGCATAGATAGATAGACGGGTAGATAGATAGATAGATAGATAGAGAAAGATAGAGAAAACAGAGAGATAGATAGCTAGATAGATAGAAGGAGAGATCGATAGATAGATAGATAGATAGATAGATGGAAATATAGATAAAAGAGATAGGTAGATGGATAAAGAGATAGAGAGATAGACGGATAGATAGATAGATGAAAGATAGAGAAAATAGAGATAGATAGATAGATAGATACATACATACATAGATAGATAGATAGAGAGATAGATAGATAGGTAGATTGATAGAAAGATAGAGAGATACACTGGTAGAGAGAGAGGGAGATAGATAGACAAGTAGATAGAGGGAAACATAGAGAGATAGAGAGATAGATAGACAGATAGAGAGAGACAGATAGATAAATAGATAGATAGATGGATAAATAGATAGATAGAAAGAGATAGAGAAAGAGATAGAGAGATAGATAGATAGAAAGAAACAGAGATAGAGAGATAGATAGGGAGATAAATAGATAGAAAAATAAACAAACAGAAGATCGATAGACAAATAGATGAATAGATAGACAGATAGACAGATAGATGAATAGATAGACAGATAGACAGATAGATGGATAGATAGATAAACAGATAGAGAGATGGATAATTACACGTGAGATAGTGAGATAGATAGATAGAGAGATAGAGAGATAGAGGGATAGACAGATAGCGAGAGAGATAGATAGATAGGTAGATAGAGCGATACATAGAGAGATAGAGAGATAGAGAGATAGAGAGATAGAGAGAGAGAGGCAGATAGAGAGACATATAGATAGATAGATAGATATATAGATAGATAGAGATAGATAGGTTAGATAGATAGATAGATACGCGGGAGATAGCTGCAGAGATGGATAGATAGATAGATATAGAAAGAGATAGAGAAAGAGATAGAGAGATAGATAGATAGATAGAAAGAAAGAGAGATAGAGAGATAGATAGAGAGATCAATAGATAGATAGATAAACAAACAGAAGATAGATAGGCAGATAGATGGATAGATAAAAAGATAAAGAAAGATAGAGAGATAGATAGATAGATAGATAGATGGATAGAGAAATAGATAGACAGACAGATAGATAGTTAGATAGAGAGGTTGATACATAGATAGATAGATAGATAGACAGATAGAGAGAGTAGAGAGATAGATAGAGAGATAGATAGAGAAGATAGATACAAATATAGATAGATAGATAGATAGATAGATAAGCAGATAGATAGATAGCACGATAGATAGATAGGTTGTTAGGTAGATAGATAGACAGATAGATAGACAGAGGAGAAGAGACAAAAGAAAGAACAGCGCAAAAACAAGCAAACGGAAGAAAGAAACAAAAGACAGATAGAAGGAAAGAAGGGAGGAAGGAAGGAAAGAAAGGAAGAAAGGAAGAAAGGAAGAATTACGGAGAAAAAAGAAACAATGAAAAGGAAGAAGAAGAGAAAATGAGTCCAGAAAAGAAAGAGAAAGAGAACTATAGTTTTTATATTTTTGAAACTTCCGCCCACCGGCTTCGCCGGCTCTACTGGTATAAGGAATCTTCATAAGAATCATGTTTTTCTAAAGTTTTCAAACAAAAAGCTGAACCTCACCCTTGCAATTGGAGCTTTCTAAGGAGCTTTGCAAGGCGCTGTGAAGGAGCGGTCTAGGGAGCTTTGTGGCGCCTGTGGCGCTTTGGTCGCGCGCCCGTCTCAAAATCTCGTCTCACTTTTTCGTGGCCCCGTCGTGTTCGTTTTATTGCTCTTTTTTTGTCACTCCTCACAAAGCTCCTTAGAAAGCTCCAATTGCGGTTCAGCTTTTTTTGAATCTTTAGAAAAACATGTTTTTATTTAATTGGTGCTCCGTGTGCATCGGCACGTAAAAACGCTGAAGCGCGCCATAGCGCGCCCTTTTTTTGTGTGGCGTAATCTGAAACTGAAAAAGGTGTAGGCTTAAAATTCAATTTAGAGCGTGTTCAAAAGAAGTGATGTGCACGCCCAACTATGTGTTTACAGCAGACCCTCAAATGGTATGTGAAGCACCTCGAAAATTAGTAGGTGGATATAAATCCAACTAGGTTCACCTCCAAAATGGTCAGTGGAACACCTTCACAAATGGTAAGCCGACAAAAGTCCAACCATGTTCACGGGACCCTACACAGGTACTAATGGACCGATGACCTTTTGGTTTTCCCTTGTCAACCTGGAAACAAAAGCTAACGGGGGTGTAAAAGGCTAAGGGCTCTCCTCGCCGGACATTGCACAAAGCGAGAAGACGCAAAACTTTTCGCAAAAAGTCAAAAAGTCAAAACTGTTCGACTTTTTGACTTTTCGTATTTTGTTGACCTTTCGTGTCTTTTGACTGTTCAGGTAGTCCCCCCCCCCCGCTGTGGTTTGACTAACAGCGCGGCAGCCCTTTGCTCAAAGAGTGCGGCCTAGCCCACTGATAAGCTGCCTTTGACTCCGGTTGTCGTCAACACCATCGTTTCTGGCGCCCCGGAACGCGTCCAGCCAGCTGCTGGCCAGCGACGCGCCCCTACAACTTTCCAGGCTTTGGTGGGCCCGGTGTCGCTTTTGTGGGGCGTGAGAGGCACGCGTCTCGAGCCCCACAAAGTCATCTAGCATGACTGCTCAAGATCAGCTTCAGCTCTAGAGCATCAACGGCGAGTTGGGCTTCCCAGTGTCGGCATTGCGAAGCGTGAAAGACTGGCCTGCAACATCTCTGTTGCCAGAGATAGGAGTTCCTAGACAAAAACAAGGAAAACTGGATGAAAACACAGTTTCAGAGGCGTGGGCGCCTTTGAGACAAAAGTCCTAGTCGGGGTCTGAAAAGGCCTAGTGCCCACCCCACAAACTGGTGCTTGACAGCGCGGGGCGCAACCTAGCCCGCTTGAACCTTTTCACGTGAATGTGTTGGAGAGCGGCACGAAAGGCTAGCCTGCGGCATCTTTGTTTTTGTTTGCTGTTGTTTTAAAGCCGGGCGTGGGGGATGACAAGCTGATGCTTGCCAGAAAGGCCACGGGATCCGGACTTGATGCTAGCTGGCAAACATGCGCTCGTAGCCGGTTTTGCATTTACTCCATGTCCCTTGGAACCTCTAGCAACGTGGCAAAGGTTATCGCGCTGAAGGTGTCAGCGCAGCATGTTGTCCAGACCCTTTGGAGCGAGCTCAGTTGATCAGTGGCCATGTAGACGCGATCTACGCAGCAGCCGCGCGGAGTCTGTTGCGTCACGTCGGCGGACGCCAATCTCGAGATGATCTCTTCGTTTTGGCCACGACGGCAGCTGTGCTACAGGAGGGCGGCGGCTCAGCAAGCACAGCCGGGCTCGCCTTGGGCTCCTCTGCAGCGGCGTCGTGGTCGGCGCAGCCCGCGTCCGCCTGGAACCGTCGTCAAACCGACCGTGCGGGCGACTTGCCGTTCCCGGCTTCAATGTCTGTCACTCGCGCACGTGCCAGTGGCCGCCGCCTCGGACTCATCGCCAGAGAGTTGGTCGTCGGCCTGCCGGGCGGAGCGCCAAAGCAACTTGGATTCTTAATGACCCCAACTTGTTTGGCCCGCCGGAGCATTTTCGGCTACGGCGGCGCGAGCTCTGCGGTGTTCGAGTCAACGAGGGCGGCCTCCGCCGCTGCAATCTCCAGGTCGCCGGCCGCAAGGGCCATCAACGCCGCAGCCGTGGAGACGCGCAGTCCGACGCACATTGATGGGCACGATGTTCACATGCTCCGCATATTCTGGCACATCCTCGGCGCCTTCCAAGAAACGCGGCCCGTACACCTCCCACGCATCCCAGGCGGCGCGGGCCTCCGTGACTGACCATTCTGTCAGGGCAGCCGCGACCGCCTCGGGGACCTCGGGCTGCTCATCCTCAGAGTCAATCACCGCAGCCGCAGGAGACCTTGGCCTTCTTTTTGGCGACGGCGCTGCTGCTTTTGCCGCGCCCCGCGCGCTTGACGCGGCGCTCGGGGTTGGGGCTTTCCGATGATTGCTTTGCCTTGGAGCCCCTTCGCGAAATCCTGCAGGATGGCTTTGCCGCCGCTGAATTGGTCCAGAAAGGTCCTCACCAGCCCCTCCACTGCGTCCTCGTTGACATCATCGCGCTGCATGTTTGCCGCATCAATGCCCTCCTGCAACTCGTTCAGGAACGCGTGCACGGTGGGCGCCCCCGTCTTCTTGCCGTCGCCCTCCGACTCCGAGAGAACGAAGTCCAAGGCAGCGGCGCCAGAGGCCTCCGGGCGCGCCAAGCATTGACTGTTCTCTGCCGAAAGCATTTTCTCCAGGCGAAAGTATTGCGTGGGCGGCTGCTTGGCAGGCAACAGCATGCAGCCTGCTTCGTCGGGCCAACTCCGCAGCGTGCTCTTCACAAAGAGTTTGTAAAGAGGCGCGCCCGACTTCGCCCCTCGTCCGCCGCCGCGAGCTGCCATTGCTAAACGGGAGGTGGTGCGAAAGATTGAAATCAATGGCTGCGGCGCGCGCAGTTGTCAAACGCACCAAAGCGTGCACCAAGAAAAAGCACATGAGCCAAGTGTTCTTTGGGGCTCAAACGGCTCAAGCCGCCGCGCCTTATGACACCGAGGCGCGCGGCCGTCAGCTTGCGGCAACGCTTGCCGCGCAACCTGAAGACACAAGGCAAGCGAGACAAGAGCCGCAACTCCAAGCCCCGGCAATGTCGATCATGAGATCACTTGCGCAACCCAAGCGAACTGGCGCGCCTGCACTCTTTTCAACCCAAGGCCTTGGGCTTCGTTTCGTTTCCGGGAGGCCCCAAGATTCGGCTAGGCAAGCCCTTTCTAAATACATGTTGATGCATAGAATGCTTGGCAATCGCCAGCGCATTCAGCGCTCGCAAGGGAATCTGAAAAGACTAGTAGCTGCAACGACATGAGCCCGAAGGACAAAAGTCTTATCACAAACAACCTATGAAAAAAGAGTCAGACTGCGAACTCAGAGGAAGTTGCCCACGGGCAGGGTCGACAGCCGCTGATCTTGCCGAAGACCTGGCCCGGCTGCTGTTCTTGCCAAAGAGGTCCCGCTCCGGCCGCGGGCCGCCCTTCGTGCCGCCGGCGACCGTCGCCGCGCCGCGGGTCCTATCAGGGGCCAAGGAAGCAAGCGAGACCGAAAACGCAAAAGTAAGAAAAGATCACGTTGCTGCCTAGCATAGTTCGTAGGATTGTTCTCTACTGAATGGGTCCGGCACCTCGGCCGCTTGGCGGTTTCTAGATTACCTTTGCAAGGCTGCCGGAACCTACGAAGCCTTTCGTTTATGTGAAATTGTCAGACGGCGGGTGGGCTACCGGACAGAGGCCAGTGTCTGACCGGCCCCCTTTTCGCACATTGTGACTGGCCTCTGTAGTGGGGGGGCTGGTCAAAATATATCATGACCGACCCCCCCCCCCTCGCATCATGACCGGGCCCCCCCAAGATTGCGCTTGGGCTGAAGCGCCAGGCCAAGCCTTGAAGTTGCTTCAAGACGCGCAAAGACTTTGCCAATTCCAGTTGGGCATTGAGTTGGAGCCCCGCTGCTGGGTAAACAACAACCCCAACATCTATGAGTTGACTCTGGTGCCCAGGCGGCCGCCAAAGGGCAGGGGCACTGCAACAGCTTGTTGCTGTGGCCAAGGTCTGTGATGTCCCGGCCTTGGACCATTCTTGCGTTTGCAAACCTGGCTGCCCGCGGACCAGGGGGAATCGAACCCGCGACAAGCTGGTCCCGGGAGCAGGCGCCCGAACCACGAGACAACTCCCGAGGACCAGCGCGAACAACAAAAGTCGAAAAAAGAAAACTCGAGTTTTTGCATCTCGACCACGCCGATCCCCGCAGAGGGTCACGCGAGCCAAAACAAAATCCAAAAGAACCTCGAGTTTTTGCACCTCGACCACGCCCATCCCCGCAGAGGGTCGCGCGAGACCAAACAAAATCGCAAGACAAAACAAACCTCGAGGTTTTGTACCTCGACCGCGCCGATCCTCGCAAAGGGTCGCGCGGCCAAAACAAAATCGCAAAGAACCTCGAGTTTTTGCACCTCGACCACGCCAATCCCCGCAGAGGGTCGATTTTCGTAGAGTGTCGTCGGCGCCCCGCCGCCCTAAGAAGAGATTTGAACTCCTCGCAAGTCAATTGCACTTGACTCCTTGCACTTGCAACTTGCACTTGGCTCTTTGCACTTGCAACTTGCACTTAACTCCGTGCACTTGCAACTTGCACTTGACTCCATGCACTTGGCTCCTTGCAACTTGCAATGACTCTCATGACTCCTTGCAATGACTCCTTGCAATGACTCGTTGCAACAATCACTCCTTGCAATGACTCCTTGCAATGACTCGTTGCAATGACTTTCATGATGATGATCACCTTGTAATGACTCTCATGAGAACTCAAGCGAACCCAGCGGAAGAACCCTTCGCGATGCTTTCGGGAAAAAGAACGTCCTTCAGCGCCCCCCCAGCGCCACAGCCTTAAAACTTTTTTTTGTAAGGAAGCCTTCTGTGCGAAATAAAAGAAAGGAACGTCCTTCAGCGCCCCCCCAGCGCCACAGCCTCAAACGCCCCCCATCCCGGTCGCTCGGCTCCAGCCCGCTAGTCGCCCGCGACCCGCGCTTCCGTAGCCCGCAAAAATGTCCGCGCCGCTGCGGAGTACCGACGCGGCCCCAGTGACCGATGCCTGAGTCGGGCCCCAGTTGGCGCAGCAAAGCGCACGCTTTGTCCCAGGGAGCACAAGAACCTTTTCAAGTCGTTTCGGCTCAGTCCCTGGTTTTCGCAAATGATGTTTCTTTTCGATCACTGTTTGATGAGTCGGCAGTAGTGGCTCATAATGTTGCTCTGCTGCTCAATGGTCTGCTCAGCCGACCTTCTGTGTCCGGTTTGCGACTCACGTGCACTAGAAGGACGCCGTTTCCATAACAAATAAGGCGTCCTGAGAAATGAGCCACGACATGTGAAACGCATGGTGAAACCACTGCAACATAGACATTGGCACTTTAGGGTTGCTTGCGGCCACTGCATTACCCCCGCGCGCAGTGCTTCCCACCTGCGTACAAATTTCCAGTTTCTGGCGGGCTTCCCATGTGTCGGTTTGAAGCAAAGCTTGACTGCGAGTGAGTTTTCTTTTGCGACCATCGCCATAGCTGACTGCTTTGTGCAAGGCCCTTTGCAGCTCGTCTTGGCTCCAACAGGGGCGCGGCTTAGCCCGTCAAATCAACAAAGTGCAGCAGCGCTGCGCTCGATCAAAGCCGCCATGGGCAGCCCTGCGCGTGACGTGGCTCCGTCTCCGCTCTGCCTCGCAGGGGAGGAGACGCCGCCGCCCCTGAGCGGGAGCGAAGGCTTTGCTCTCGCCGCCGCTGAAAGAGAGGACCTGCTTGCAACTTAAGCTGAGGTGCCATTCGAGAGTATGCCGCACTGAAAGAAAAGGTCTCCTCGGCTACGGACCCGTGTCAGCAGGCACGCGAGCAGCTGCAGGATCTCGCAAGGCAGGCGTGGAAGATGGCATTTCATGCTGACTTCGATTTCAACGCTTCTGAGCTCGGCGAGAAAGCCCAGCAGCTCAAGTCAGAAGATCTCGAGAGATCTCACAACGCTTGGGCCAAGGTAGTGTACGATATCAAAGAAGTATACCAGGCCATTGGCTTCCACCGGAGGCGAGACAATCATTTGTCACGTCGCACTGCTTGGGCTTCTTCTCCGACTTGCTTGAAACCAAGGTCCCGGACCCAGTCAACGCACAGGCAGACACGTCCCTTCGCTCTGCTCGCCCGTTCATCATCGCAGAAGCTGCTGGCCGTGTTTCAGTTGGGAACGGTTTGCCCCGTGATGGGCACGTGGTTTTCAGCGATTCCAGGGCCAGTGAGCTTATTATTGGAACGGCCGCACAGGTGGCCTTCGGAACCCCCCCCTGAAAGGGGCTGAAAGTGCCTGGAACGTGGCAGCTTCAAACTTGCCTCTTGTTGTGGCAGGAGGGTCAGCAGCGGGCAAGGACAACTTGAAGCGACTAGTGCTGGACTGGCTCTGCAAGCTGGGTGGTGAAGACAAGCCTGCCACGCGAGGACGGGCAGGGGCGGGAGAAGTTCTTTGTGGGACTCGCGCACCCATGCGCAACCCTCTGGTTTTTTCAAGTGTGGTCTTAGCGCTTTGCTGAAACTAAAGCCTAGCATGGCCTCACCCATGGGGGGATCAACTACCGTCACAGGTCTCATGCAGGAGTTACAAGAGAGCTGGAGAAGGTGATCAACAAGAGCAAGGAGAAGCTGCTGCAGGAGAGTGACCTCATAGAACTCCTCGATGGCACAGACGCTTTTGGAAGGCGAACTGGGCAGCAGAAGGCTTGCTTAAAACCTGTGGTTTGGGCTTTGCTGGGTTGCGGCTGCCACGCAGCAAGCGCGCCAAGGCAGAGTGGGGGCGCGGCCAGGGCCAGGGCAGCGAGATTCAAGTTGAGCGCATGCAGGTGTGCTGGATGGCTCTGGCCAAGCTTGTGACAAGGCAGCTCAATGGTGACGAAGCACGCAGGAAAAGCGTTTGGGGCAATGGCAACAGCCAACGCGGCAATGCGGAACGGCATGCTTCGGTGGGCCCTCGGCGACATGGTTCCAGTTGATGGATTTTGGACAGCCTTGCCGCAATTCCAAAGATGGAGATGTGCTCCACGAACCAGTTGCTGGCTGAGCGGCTGATTGAGCAAAGGGTCCCGGCTGACAAAATGGCGCTGCCCCGCAGTCAGTGAGCCAGAGCCTGAGCTCATCCCAGACCTCAACCCCGTTGACTTCGCAGCTAGCGCATTGGCTTCAGAGCCTGTCAGCACGAAATTTCAGAAGAGCAGAAAGGCATGTGGAAGGCACCCGGCGAAGTGTTCCACGCCTGTTCCCAGTATTCGAATTACGCGCCCATCTTCCAAAGGCAGTGATTCTCCTTTTTCTTGAAATCTCCACAAGGCAAACTATGTGATATTCAGGTTTGGTGTTTTTGGTTTCTGGGGCTCGCAATGGCCTATTCCGTGCCCTGCAAACCCGGGTGGTCTGGCAGGAAGGGTGCAGAAGTGAGACCCTGCCCATTGCAAGCTCCACGGGCCCACCTCGGTTCCATGTGGCGCTCACGTCGCAGCGCGTGACTTTTTCCGGGCAAAGGGTGTTTCAAAAAAACAAGAAAAGTCAAAAACAGTTCGACTTTTCGACTTTCGAGTTTCTGGGGACTTTTCGAGTCTTTTTTGAGATTTTTCGATTTTTCACTTTTCGACTTTTCGGAACAAAAACATACAGATTTCATTGACACCACTCTCGAAAGCCTGGTGTAGTCCATAGACCGTCCTTCATCCATCTCGAAGGTGGCAAAGACGTCAGGCACATCGGGTTTCCAGAATGTCTGAAGTGCCATGGTGTGGATATGCGAGATCTCGACTCCTGATTCGGTAAAGCTCCTCCCCTATGAAGGCGTGTTAGGGATTCTCTGAATTTGTCCCAAGCAGCAATACCCCCCTGATTCATTGAAAGGGGCAGGCTCATTTGTTATTGGAAGGGATTGCACGCTTGGATGGAAATTCCCAAATACACCACTAACCACCCGGTTTATCAATCTGAGGTCGGCATTTGGGTGGGGCGGGGACTCTTAGAAGTTCCGATGGTTTGTGAGGAATGAATCACTGAAATTGAGGGGCTTTCGAGCAAGTGTTACCAGAAGCAGTCCATTGTGTGGGGCCGTCCTTGAATCCCCCGCCCCCCCACGTTTGGGGGCTAGAAGCGCCTCACCCCTTTTTTGTTTGCCATGAGCTCTTGCAGGCAAATCCTCACCCCTTTTTTGTTAGCTTCCCTTAAGGGGTGGTTGACTTGTCCGGCAGGCTGCTGCCATGATCTTGGTTATGGGCCAGGGGCCCAGAAGGAAGCACGCAGGGCGCGATGGGAAACGAGCGGTTCCACAGAGCCGTGGGTAAAAGGAGCGGTTCCACCCATGGTGTCCTTTGCTTGGGATGTTTTATTTGGAAGCCAAATGGATTGGGGCATGCTTTCAGGAAAGTCATGTCGAACCCTGCAAATGTTCGAAGTTTGGCATTTCGAAGTTTGAGGTTTGACCCAGGTCAGCTTTTTGGCTGCCCCGTCTTGCTTCAGAAGTTCGAAGCTCACCCAATGACAAAGGCTCAAACACATCATGTAGGCTGACGTTTCCTGGCCCGCTGAGTGAGTTTCTGGGATATCATGCTCTAGCCCATATCAAAATGCGTGTTCGCGCTTGCGGGATGAAGCGGTACCTGCCAGGAACCCATGTCGTCTCGCTGCTTGTCCATACACTGCAACGGCCTGGTAAACCCTGGGCTTTTTACCCAGTTGCCCAGTGGCACCCTTGTTTCATTTCTTCGGGAAGGTTTTCCCTTTTAAGTTTTTGTTCCATGGCCACATTTCAGTTTATGAAGGGGAACATGCTGAATTGTGAAGGTGGTTGCCGACCTTTTTGCGGAGTGGTTGAAGCAGCCCTGTCGCAGAGGAGCCCTGTCGCAGGGAATCTCATTGAGGACGCCTCGAATAGAGTCTTCCAGTTGGTGGTCCCTGCAACACCCATCTCATCTTTCAGGTTTGCTGGCGTAGCCCGGGGTCACAGGCATTACGAGGGATGATCTCACTTGACCAGCTGGCCTCACATCACTCAGCCATGAGCTCTTCAAATCAACTCCGGGGCTGTTCCGCGCTCAATGTCGGCGGGTTAGGTTTCTTTGAGTAACTCGTTGTCAACATGTGTGAAGCGAGGTCCAGGGGCGGTAAGGTGTTCCTTTTCTTGGTGGACTTCCTTAAAAGTTAACCACCACAAATAGGGGCACCGGTCTTCAAACAACTGTTGGCCCAACTTTCCCCCGCCCCAAGTTCGTCATCGCACGAAGTGGGTCACAAGTGGCCCTCGCATTCGCCAACCGAGGCTATCAGTTCGTGAAGCAGAAGGGGCCCTTCGAGCCCTCAGCCGCTCGGCCTAATCCTTCGGTGTGGGTGTGGGGTTCGCCGTTTTAAGGCTGGTTTCACGCGAAAGGAAAACCACAATTTTTGAGGCACATATTATTGTGGCTCCAGCCATCCAACTAAATGATAGTTCACACACAAAATGTTTGTTATCCGGTTGAATTCCCGGCGCAGTCCCAAGAGAAGAGTCATAAACGGCCTGGCATGCGCATTGTTCCAAGTAGGTACGTAGTCCTTTTCCTCTCTGGGCGGGTTTGTACAGGGTAAAAGGCGGAAGAAGCTCGAGTTCCACGGCAGGTTTCTCCGGGCAGGAGTCCATTTCAGCCTGATTCCTCCAAATCTTGCCTTTTCGACTTCTCAGAGAATCTTGAGAGACTACTTCACATTGTGCCAGGAATCATTTGATGTGTGGACCCCTTGGCGTGGGCAAATGGCTGAAATGATCCCGTCGCTGGGCTCAAGCTGCACGTCGTCCACTCACGCCTTCGGCGCTCGTTCCGCGAAGTGGGATGGGCTCCGGGAGCTCCGTGGCAGTGGCGGGAGCAGCGACCCGGCGGGAGAAAGGCACAGCTCGGCTCTTTGGCCCTGATGGTTGCGAAATCCTTTTCGGACCACGAAATGAAACCATAAGAAACCAGAACGGGAATCATCTTTCCAAGGTTCCACTTTGAGTCATGGCCCCGAAAGGTGATCGCCTTCTGTTTCCAGGTCCTTTAGGCAACTGAGAACCGCCCAAAGCAGATGATTCCTTACTTAAATGGCGAACCACCCCTGACCCACGGTCCTCCGGATATATTCAAAGTCAGGGTAGGAAACTGGTCTCTGCTCCGGTTGTTTCCGTTTTCTTTTCCATTGTCCTTTTCCGGGAAGCGAATGTTCCATGCCAGGGTCTTCGGGGCAACTCTATAAGCACTACTAGCATTGAAAGGCCAATGTGATGTTCGGGCAAGGCTTGGGAACGCAGGGACGGTGCGAGAAAGATAGGCAGTGCTGTATTTGTTCGCAGTGTATTGGGAAAAGGGGTCTGCAATTCGAGACACGCCTCTTTAGGCACAAAAGCTTCCCTTCGAGCCTCTAGGCCTCTAGGCCTCCACGACCCTAAGCCTCTAAACCTTCCACGCCTCTAAGCCTCTCAGTCTTCCCTAGAGGCTAAGGCAGAAGCTTAGGCACCTAGAGGCTTAGGTGCTTGAAAAGGACGCTTTGGCGCTGGAAGCCTTGTCATAGATGCTTGGAGGCTTAGGCGCTTGGAGGCTTGGGCTTGGGCGCTCATAGGATTAGTGACTACCAGCGTTGAAGTACTCGGGCTCGGTAGCTTTGCAGCTCAAATCTCTAAGGCTGGAAGTTCCTGAGTGCTGTAGACGTTGTTTGGCTAAGCTGGCACCCTCTGGTTTCCGGCGTCCGATAGGCGTCTTTTTTATGCCTTGCGCGGGCAGGCGCTTGGCAGACAATTGCGTGAGCAAGACTGATTTCATTCTTGCTTGTTCTCTTGCACCCCTAGATCTTGTAAAGGTTCACGCAAGAACCACTCCCAACATCCAAATCTCAATGAGAGAGTCGGCGAACATCACGAAGAGAAAATTGCCTTTCTTTAGTTGTGTTTGGCGCTTGGCAAGTGCTCTTCCTTTGTTTGAAAGGACACCTGATGAGTTTGCTTCTTTGTCTTGACAGGTTTCTAGCTTGCAGTATTGAGAGGGGTTCTGCCGTAAATCCACTACTCCTTTGTCAGGGGTCATGCCAGAGGTCTGTCGCTGTTGAGCAGAGAGTGCCTAAGCAGGGCGTTAGTTGGTGCGAGGTGCTATAGTTGGTGTGACTTTGTGTTTGCTTTCTTTACCGTTGTTTGTCTCTTGGTACGGCTTCCTTCGATTTCTATTGGGAACGTTCCTCCTTTGTTTGAAAAACCACCTGTTGAGCTGATGGCTTTGGTTCTACATGTTTTTGCTTTGCAAGGACACCAAAGGGCGCAGGTTTATTCGATTCAGCTGTGCAGAATCCTGCAGCGGCCCTGGGCAATCAAAAGGCCGCGCACTCCACGCCTCCAAGCTGCTAGGCCTCTAAAGCTCCAAGCCTCCACACTTCTAAGCTTCTAAAGCTTCAAGATGCGGCCTCTGAGCCTTTTTACACCTCGCAGCCTCTTGAGTATCCTTTAAAGGCTTAGGCTCCTAGAAGCTCAGATTCTTAAAGGCTAAGGAGCTAGGAATAAAGGCTTATGCGCTTAGGGGCTTAGGCGCTTGGAATAGAGGCTAAGGCGCTTACAGGCTTAGAATAGAGGCTTAGGTGCTTCAAGGCCTAGGTGCTTCGAGGATCTTCGAGGCTTATGTGGTTGGAGGCTCTGCAAGGTTCCACGCTTCTAAGCCTCTAAGCCTTTTTCCGCTTCTCATCCTTTAAGTCTTCTGTAGAGGCGTTGGTTCTTTTAGAAGCTTAGATGCTTAGGCACTTGGAAGAGAGGTTAAAGGCGCTTAGAAGCTTAGAGGCTGGTGTTGAAAAAGCCAGATCCCGGCTCCCAATACAATGGTTTTTTGGACCCTGTGCTGGGACAGCCGCACAACCCGGGAAATTAGAGGCCCGATGGCCCATGTCTTTTGATCGAGTGGTTTCTTCCGGATGACCCCGATTGCTGGTCTTTGAGCCGGACCTGTTTGCTTCAAGCAGCGCAAGATCAAAATTGGAGGGAAGGTCTACAATTTGGTGACGCGCTGTTGGACGGAAGGGCCAAGCAAAGGCAAACCAGCCAGGCGTTCCTCGATGGTGCAGAAAGTTTTGGGGCCTTTATTCGTGTACGCAGGCACCAATCCATGCGATCTCCAAGCGCTTGGATCTCTGGCAGTAGAAAGGAGGCACCGCACAACAAAAGCAGCGCCTTTTTGCTGCTTGCAGCTTGATTCAACTTCCTTTTTTTCACTCGCCAGAAACCACACGTCTTTTCAAGTTTGAGCCAAGGATCCCTGTAAAGAGGGGTAATATGATTTCTTGTCCCTTGGGAGGGGTCTTTGTCGGTTTCCGCAAGAAAAAGGCACGTGGCTAAACCCCTATGATTTTTCCTGTTATGATGCCGTCAGCCCTGTTTCTTAACGGCTGATTGCCGCTGCCTGAAGCCATCCTTCGACGTATTCAAAAGCCAATCGGGGTTGACCAAAATCGGATCTGCTGATCGCGTGGCGAGCGATTCCACCCGTTCCGGGGGCAAAACAGGCCATGTCCTTACCTTTATTGGCATCTTTTGGGTTCTGTCAACTTTCGAGACCATTGTGTCGCGCGCCGCCTTTCAAGGGCCACCAAAAGGGGTTCTGCCAACCCACCACAAGGTTGCTGCTGTTGGCCTAGCCTTTGGGGCCAATTTGAGTCACACGAGGAAACTGCAATGGTTTTGTGTGAAGTTGCGAAACAGACCGCAAGTGTCAATTGTCCCAAAAGGGAATCAAATCAAAAGGGGATGAAACAAGACCATCTCTCGTAAATTTGCTCGTTCCTAAAACCCAACCAGGCAGGGGGATAGATCATCTCCTTTTTTTTGTCGAGACCAGTGCTATACATCCTGCATGGCCGCGTCTTTCTGAGGTGAGGAACTGCTCTCCAGATGTTCTTGAAGAAGTGATCTCCAATCTGAGCTACGACAGCTGCGACCGACTTTTGAAGGCCAGACCTTTTCTTCCCTGTAGCAAATAGGTTGGCTTTTGTTGGCCAAAAGTCATCTCGAGCTTTGTGTTTGTAAATTTGCAAAGTCTTGGTGGGCGCCTTTCTGTATCATTTTTGTCAGCAGGTCAGCCTGCAGGTCAGTCTCTTTCCTCGCCGCATTCTTACGCCTTTCTTCTGACCCTTCAACAAAGAGTTGTCATAACCCCCCTATTTTTGATGGATGGCCAGACTCAGATGACCAACCAGTCTTACGCCTTTTTTCTAACCTTTCAACGTTGAGTAGTTGCCATGACTGACCCCCATATTTTGGGTTGGTGTGTGTTATGTTCATCATAGATTTCATTTTTCAACGTCAAGATGGGGGGTTGTCTCGTTTTGGGAAAGGCCAGTTTTGGGCCCAATGAAGCATTGGGATTCCACCGGTCGGGGGGTACGCGCGCAAACACATGGAGGTCCTTTACTTGAGGATCCGATTTTAGAAGTATTGCGAACTTGGTAAAATTCGGTTCTTGGGTTTTCCGATCCCATCCTGGGCCGTGTTGTCCTCTTTTACCTGAGGTGTGTGTTTTGTTTGTTTGAGCTATTTATGAAGTCGGCCGCCTACGAGCTTCTGGATACCTCCCCCACAAACCAAAGGTGAACACAAGCCATGGTGGAGCGCTCTGGGTCCCTGCTTGCAATCAGGAATCAAATGCATGTTGCAGAGAGAGAGAGAGAGAGAGTGAGGAGCAAAAAAGGAGAAACAACATGGATGCATGTGGAGAATGCTTTCCGTTTTGGAGGTCCATGCTTATGCTGAACAAATGGATGTGTTGAAATTCAGATTCGCCCATGTTGTTCCTGGATTATTAGTTTGCTTTTGTTCGCTAAGAGCTGTTCCCTCTCTTTGGCTTCTGTTTGGCAGGTCGGAGTTGCGATCGTTGGAATGACTCATTTGGACTCATTGAGTAAATTGAGGCAGTGGGAGCAGATAGCACCTGTGCGATCATCAGGGGTCCCTCAACTTCCCTTGTTACCTCCACTGAATTGCCGCTATGAACCGGCTGCTTTCAACTTTCGACTCACGTGCTGCTTGGCACCTGGCAGGCCTTGGACATTGACGGCAATCACCTGGGCGTTGTCCCTGGGCAAAGCTAACCGGTCTGAAGCATGCAGGACTTGGCTTCCCGTTTTGCCCTTTTGACCTTTCGAATTCCTCCGTTTGCCCCTTTTAACCACAGGGCTTAAGTCTGGCCAAGCAAGGGACATCAAAAGAACTCACTGGCAGAAAGAGGTTGAGTGTTGCATGGGGCCTTGTCTTGGAGGTTGCCTTTTTGCCACCATGGCCCAGTCTAGCTTTCGTGGCCTAGGAGTGAACTAGTTCAGGGTTTCCCCTCGGAGACCAGCGTGGTTCAGTGGGTCTTGCGCACCAGAGCATTCCATTCACGGGCCACGCTTGTGGCGTCAAGGCGTTCAAGTCCAGCTCCATTCTGGTTGGTTTCACTTTCGGTCCCTGGTGCCGAAGAATATAGTATATGGTGTCAATTCCCTTCGAAGGAAATTTTGAGGGGGAGTTCGAGGCGCGTTGCGCAACCCAATGCGCTGAGGTGCCGGTACCAGCTGCCGTGAGCCCGGCTTCAATGCTCACCACCTTCTGGAGGACGGAATTCTCGGTTGCAAATCTTCGCCAGGTGACTGGCTATGATTGATGGTTTTTATATGGGGAACTGCTGAAACGGTGTTGATGGACATGAACTCTATGTAAATCTCCCGCAAAAGGTCCCCATGTTCAAACATGATAGCCCGTTTGTCAAGGTTCCGAGGGCATACTTGGACGAGACCAGTTAAACTATGTCAAAAATATGCTCCCGAAGTTGGCACTTACTGCAACGCTGCATCGGACAAGAAGAACAAGGTATTGATGAGGCCTACGTAATATGACATTGATATTGAGCAAGCGCAATTCATTTTTCCTCAAAAGAGGCTGCTTGGCTGACCGGCCGCCTTAGTTTGAAGACGAACCCAGTCGGTGAATTTTGAAAAATCCAAACCCCGGGATCCAGGATTTGCGGAGCCCGCATGAGCTGATTTCCCATGAAGAACCAGGCACGCACGTGCAAGTGCACTCACAGATTCTAGGCCACCTGTCCTTCAATGGAGGCTTGGAGGAAGCCAGGTCCGGGAGGTTTGGAGAAGCCGGCGCTCCAAACTTTAAAGAGCGTCCCTGTATGACATCCAACGGCAGTTCAGCTCCGAATGTGTCAGATCAAAAGTCACAAGTTGCATGAGGGCTAAAATCCACATGTTTGACACCCCATTTGCCGTTTCAACGGGCCTCCACCCTTTCGCTGGCGAGGAAGAAGCTTGGGCAGGATGATGCGTCCCACATCCCCATGGTGAAGCCAGCGGATCTGGGCATCGTCTCCCGCACCACCAAGAAGTTCCAGGGCAAAGGAGGACTGTCAAGATGTCCGGTTTGATGGTAAGGGGAAACCAAAGGGAAACACTAACTAGCAGGGGTCCGTAACTTGGAGATACAGCCATGTGGCTTGGGAAGTTGGGGAAATTGGGGGGGAATGGAGATTTGTCTATGCATCTGTGTGCCACCTATTTCCTCCTGCTTTCTTCCCCTGTCCTGTAGAGCTCCCATCGCCCGCTGAAGCCCTGCCAGGACATGACCCCTGGTTCGGGCCCACTGCCTTCACTGTCTTCGGGGAGCGATGGACGCTGGACGACTTCCTGGGCGCCGGCGCATTTGGCCAGCCGGGACCCCGCTCTCAGCGTTCGCTGATCTTTGTGATCGAATCGCAGGGACATCCTCTTGAAAACCAGTGGCTTTTCCATTAAACCTACAAAAGGTGATCAGCCCAGTTTCTGGGCCATAGTGGCCAGTTTTGTGGCAAAGACGTGTGTGTTGTGGCCATGCTTTTTGCGAAGACCAAAGCGAGACTGCCTGGGGATGGTTGCCCAGCTCTGTGGATTCCACCGCTTTCTTGGGTTCTAAGCCTAAGAGTCAACCCCAAGAAAGGTGTCCCTTTCCGGGTTTGCAACATCGACTTGGTACCATGTTTTGGCAAAGTCGGAATATCCAAGCACGCAATAAACCCGAAGATCGTACGGCTTTTGACCGGAAGAAACAGCAGAATATTGATCTGCTTGCTTGTTTGCATTTAAGACGTTCATACAAGATTCTGTGGGGAAAGATGCCAGGATCGCAGCAAAAAAGGCCCCTTGTCTTCTTCAAATGCGGAGCCAGGATTCGTGCTGACGGAGATTGAGGGAGCCGCTTAGGTTGGTTTGCAAACGGGCCCGCGACTCTATCGACATGACCCAAAATTCTTCTGGGAAGCAGGCCATATTACTCAGATGGGTCCTCAGCAGATGTCTGCAACCAAAAGAATCAGACTCAGATATCAAAAGCTGGTGAATTTATCAGAATGCTGTGCAGCCGTGTACCAGATCCGGGGAAGCCTTCCTTGCCCGATTTCCTATCAGCCGGATTTCACCGTTTGCTTTGGCGCAGGCCGTCCGCTCCCTAGGCGCCTGGGAAACCCACCCCGCGACTCTCGTAGGTCGTACTTGGCCACGCACGAGCCCACCGGGCACCGCTACGTGCTGAAGTTCCTGTCCCGGGACAACGATCGGGAGCTGCAGTTCCTGCAGCAGGCGAAACGAAGGGCTGTTGAGGACAAACCTGCCCCCGCCCCCTTTGCAGGGGGGGGGGCTCCAATGTGGAGTTTTTGAAGGGTTCTGCAACAGCCGCTTTCAGGTTGGACATTCATGCATGTACATCCGCCTTGGCCGTTTTACCATTACAGGCCTTGAGCCCCGGCTCATCCCATCGAGTCAGAAAAGGCGTGACTGCCGCGCCATAGCTGGGAGCCTAACAGTTGGGCTTCATCATTGACCCCTTTGACTTTGTGACGGTTGACTTCCTGGGGTGAACCCCAAAACGGCTACCGCATTGGTAGCGGAGCGGCAACGCTCCAGGCCGCTCCGACTGCTGTGTGGGCCTCTTCTGTGTGACCTTCTTTGGCCTTTGCAGCAGTTGGGATTTATCCACCATAGTCAGTGGCAGTACTGACACTCTGTCTGATCAAGCTGGTTGGGTCACTACATCCTTGCGGATCTCCTGGGTGGCCCTTAGACCTTTTGGTGGATTACCTGAGCCCGGGTACGCTGAGTTGATTGCATTACTCCGAGGTTAGCTTCGAAGAAGCCGCATCTTGTTGAGTTCCTTTCCTCAACGTGGCCAACAGTTTTTTCCTTGGTGGCTTCCTGCCCCCCTTTTCTCCTGGCCTAAGGCCTCAATTTCTCCAACGAGCTCCTGAGTCTTGAGTCGAATCCGATCCTGGACTTTTGCATCAGCGACATCATGGATACGTCCTTCAAGCCACAGGATCCGGTCCCTGGCTGGGACGGGAATGCTCGCGGATGGCGTCGCTACAGTCGAGAAGTAGCCTGGTATGTCCTGGGCACCAAGAAGAATCAGAGAGCCTTTCTGGCTCCACGTCTGATCTCCAAGCTGTCTGGACCCGCGAGATTGTTGGCAATGAGCTGGAATCAGAGAGACTTCAAGGGCAATCAAGGAGTACAAGTTCTCTTGCAGCGTTTAGCAGCTTCACCACTGGTTCGCAAGAATTTGCCCAACACCAGCGCCATCATGAATCAGTACTTCACCTATAAGCGCTTCCAGCAAGAGTCTATTGCCAACTACCTCGTTAGAGAATCGCTCTACTACGAGGAGTTTGTCGAGAGCCTGATGGCCCTTAAGGATGAGCAGGATGGTGTCGTCTCTCGCATCCTGGCGGAGTTCAGTGAAAGTGAAGAGTCAGATCATGGTGAAGAAGAAGGAGAAGAATCTGAAGATCGACCTCGTGCTCATCAACGTGTTCCTCGCCGAGATCCAGATCCCACTGCAACACCACCTCCTACGAGAACTCGCTCCTCGGCTTCTGTTCCATCGGAAACTCAATCGGCAACTGGGGATCCAACTTCAGTCTTGCCTGTCTCCACTCCTCTGAGTGCTGCCGATAGCTTCATTCTCAAACAGTTGCGTGGATGGCGTCTTCTTTCTGGTGCTTGCTTGTCGGCTGAAGAATGGCGATCCGTTCTGGCGGCAACCAACAACAAGCTGGACTATGAGAACGTCAATGTAGCTCTTTCGATCCTCTATGATGACCAGATCAACGCGCACCGTCAACATCATCCTCATGGTGGTCATCCATGCTCTCTGGAGGAGGACGATTGGTCCTGGGATAATGGCTCCTGGGGCGCTGATTGGGATTACTGGGCGGCAACCGCCTATCCCGCCTGGCCGGAGGAGGATTTTGAATGGCCTCCGGATGATTCTCCTCCCGGTGAAGATGGTTCACAGGATGACTCCAAGCCGTCGACAAGGAGGCAATGGTCCAACAGACCTGGTCTCAAGCTCATCGTTCCTCCCAGTTGGCACGCAAGGACCGTGGTTTTGGCAAGGGTGTCTCTAAGTCGGATGGTTGCTTCATTTGTGGACATCCTGGACACATGGCTCGTGAATGCCCCTCGCCTTGCTCCCAAAGGTAAAGGTCGTCTCAATCACTTGGGTTACTATGACGAGGAGTATTTGCACGCTCTTGGCAAGGGCAAGGGCAAGTTCAAATCCAAGAAGTCTGGCAAGTCGGCTCACTACATGGAGGATTTGTACTACGCCAAGGGCAAGGGCTATGGCTTTCCATCTGACAAGGGCAAATCCAAGTCCAAGGGCAAGGGTATGGTCAATGCCTATACCATGGACTATTTCTCCGATGGCCTGGGATTCAATGTGCTGGACTTCCAGCATAACCCGACCATGGATTTGCAGTCATCTACCAAAGCCCTGGGGACTCCTGTGCAGAAGAATCAACCTGCCAGTCGAGCGGCTGCTTCGCACGGCATGTTGGATTCGGGAGCCACATGTTCTGCCGGTCCTGAGACCTCCATCCAGAACTTGGTGATCTCTGTGATTAGCCGCGACAAATCAGCTAAGGTGGTCGTAGATGCGAAAAGGCGGCCCAAGTTCAGATATGGCAGTGGCAAATGGGGTCAAGCCCTTTTCCGTGTCTCCATTCACTCGAGCATCACCAACAATGTGTTCCATGCTTTTGCCTTGCCGGACCCGGAGGAGATTCATGAAGATTGGTTTGAACCTAGCATGTTGGTCCCGGTCCTCATAGGTATGGACTTCATTGATGGCAATGCCTTGGTGGTCGATTTCAAGGATGGTCTTGCAGTCTGTGCCAGTGAGCCCCATGCTCAACCCTTTCACTTGCCGCGAAACAAGAAGCGACACCTCCTGGTTGATGTTGTGCAGTTCCTCACCAATGGCAATGAGAACCTGGAAGGAAACCCCACCATCCATGTGCTTGAGTCTTCAACAGAGCCAGATCCCGCTGTCGATGTGACTATGTTGACCTTTTCCACGGACCCATGTTTGGATGTCGAATCTGGTTGCTCGGACTTGTTGGCCTTGGAAGAGTCGACAATCTCAGAGGGTTCTTCGTGGTTTCAACGCCTGTGGCATCGACGATTGTCAATCCGGCAATGAACTACCAGCAGTTCTCGAACCCCCAATTCTGCGCATCGTCCTCTGCACTCAATGGCTCCGAAGACCAAGACATCACCTCCGGCGGCTACGATCGACCTGGACCTTCCTCGCAAAGTGTGTGCGGATCCTCGAGGCCCTCGCACCAAGGTGTCATGGCCATGCAACAACAACCACACGCTCTCCAAGATGCAGGGCAACAAATGGGCCTCCTGGGTAAATTGCACCGTGTGCGGTTTGCGGATGGAGACCATCCCCAAGGTCGGAGCTCCAGCCAACAACTACAAGAGTCCGAACCCGGCCATGGTCACTCAAGCTCTTCAAGAACTCCAAAAGAATCTCTCGCCGGAGATGATCCCCTCCGAGGAGCTGGTCCAAATAGGTTGTGGCGGAGGAGCGCATGAAGACCCTCCTCAAGGAGTACCAACGCCAGTGGCAAGCAGCGACCTCGAAGATCGTGATTGCCAAACAGGCAATGAAGGAAACTCCAGCTGGTTCGACAAGTTCCGGTTCCGCCAGCAACGTCGAGCGCAACCAAACAGCCTCTCCTCCGCCAAGGTCAACCTCAAGTTGGTCCAAGATTTCCGAAGTTCAGCCCGATGCCGAGTCCGATCTGCTGAAGCTCCTGACCCCCGAAGAGGTCAAACACCTCCAGAACTTGGTATCTCAACGAGCCGCAGCGCAGACCCCGATCGATCCGGAGGATGTGGAGCTGATGCCAGATCTCACATCGCAATGAATGCCGAGTCCATGGATGAATTGGCCGAGGACACACACCACCTTCCTCTTCGACTTGGTAAGGCTCTCATGGACATGATGCACTCCCTTCATGAGGAGCTCGATACGAGCCTGGCGGACATCTGCTATGGCAAGAAACCTGTGGTGTGGGAAGTGTTCTGCTCTCCAGAGTCCGAGCTGTCCTCAGCCTGCGATCGTCATGGAATGCAAGCAGTTCGCATCAACTTGGCCAACCACTTCGACCTACAAGGACCACTCGTGGGAACGACTCCTCAAGCTCTACAGGCAACAACGACCTCGCAAGGTCTGGGTATCACCGCGGTGTACATACTTCTGCAGCTGGGTCGACTTTAATTACCAACATCGCCCAGACGTCCTCGACAAGTACCGCCGCAAGAACGACGGATGCTCAAGCACCTCGTCTCCTTCCTGGAAGAGGTCGTCCGTGATGGAGCTGATTTCTTTTGGGAATGGCCACTTCGTTGTCGTGGATGGAACGAGCCCATCGTTGTCAACTTCATGGACAGGATCAAGAAGCTCTATGGCGACTTGTGGTTCTGCCGAATGGATGGTTGTCGGTACGGCCTGAAATCCCAGAAGGGGAACTTCGTGATGAAGTCCTGGAAGATCCTCACTTCGTGCCAGCACTTCTACAGCAAGTTCCGCCTGCAATGTTGCCTCCGAAATCACCAACACGAATGGCTTCAGGGCAGTGAGACCAACCGGAGCGCATACTATCCACCGGCTATGTGCACTTCCATCGCTCGATCCTGGAAATCTCAACTACTACCAGTCCGATGGCTGAAGATGCTGTGGACTGCTCCTGTTGTTGGCCTTGATCCCTTCGTGATTTCGGCTTTGGACCAAGATCCTGAACTACCTGATCCTGCTTCTCCCGATGAAGAACCTTATGGGCCTTCCGAAGGAGAAGATCTTCATCCACCTGATGATCTTGATGACCTCATGGAATCACCACCACAACCTCCTCCTCCTCAGGTTCAGCATGGTTCGGATTGGGAACCACCGGTCCTACGTCCTGATGATCCAGTACCTCCGGGTAGTTCTCGAGGGAACGGTCATGATGATCCTGCTGTACCTGATAGTGACGTTTCTCCTAAAGAACGACAAGCTTGGGAAGCCAAGATCTCTCGATTCCATCGAGCTGCAGGACATCCTACCGCCCGTAACCTGGCGCGCATGCTCCAAGACGCACAGGTTGAACCCTGGAAGGTGAAGGCTGCTCTCCAATACCGATGTCCGGCTTGCGAGGAGCAGAAACCTGGTGGCAGCTCTTCGAAACAGGTCCCCAATGTGTCGATTCGTCCTCTACCTCAAGCTTGGGAACAAGTTGGAATCAATATCGCTGAGTGGGAAGTACCTGGTCAAGATCTGAAGGTGAAGTTCATTCTTCTCATGGACATGGCCACCGGCTATCGCGTGACCGAGTCCCTGGCAACCTACAAGCATGGTCAAGTCTGGAACGAGAGCGCCGAGGACGTCATGAAAGCCATCACCCTTCGGTCGATCATGGACAAGCCACGTCCCAAGGTCATTGTCCCGGACAATGCCAACACTATGCTGTCTCAACGTGTGATGGACTTCCTGGCGGACCTCACCATAGAAGTACTTCCACCTCCTGAAGGTGAATCCTGGAGTCATGGTCTGGTGGAACGCAACATTCAACACGTCAAGGAAACCGCCTCCCGGATCCAACGTGGATCTCCAGATCAGGATCCTACTTACTCTCTGGCTTTGGCTACGTCTGCTGTCAACAGCACCGAGTTCAAAAAAGGCTTCAGTAGCATCCAGTGGGCATTTGGTCGTCAAGCTGAACTTTCCGATGATGAGCTACGTCAACAGCTATGTCTTCCAGTTGATCGTCAACAGGAAGAACCGTTCCTTCGACTTCTACAACAACGACAAGTCGCTGAAGAGAATGCCCGAACAGCAAGAGCTCGATTGGCCATCTCCAAGCTCAAGAACACGTCCATTCGACAACCTGTTCGAACCTTCAGCATGGCACAACCGGTCATGATGTGGCGGAAATTCCTTCCTCATACCATCTACCGCGGACGCAAAGGAGGCTATCGACCTACAATGCGACCCAGATGGATTGGTCCTGGCCGCATAGTCTTTCATGAACTTGTCCGAGGCCAAGATGAAGAAGATCGAGAACAAATCGTGTGGGTGCTCCTGGGCAACAAACTATATCGTGCCAGCGTTCACAGTGTGCGTCCTCTTTCTGCTCGAGAGCAGGGAATCTTTGAGCTGACTGGTGATCAATCTCATCGGTGGCACCAGCTTACGGACATGATTCCCAAGCGCAACTACACTGATGTGACTGGCGAAGTTCCTCAAGCAGGAGATGTAGAAGGACCTCATCTACCACCTCTTCCGGATGGCTCTACGATCCTGCCTCGGTATCGTGTTCGACGGAAAGCTCCTGTTGGCTTTGATGGTCGACCTCAAGTACAACCAGGCCTTCCTTCCGGACCATCACCAAGTGTGCTACCTCCTGCTCCTGTCTCTTCCGTCAACGAGTACGAGATCAAGCCTGGACCTGCACCTGATGATCTATCTGCTGAGGGGAATCTTGATGGCGATGAGGTCACTGGAAACGACATTCCGAAAAAGTCGTCCAGACGCTCGTCAATTGCTTCAAGGACACCTCTGTTGAGTGATCCCTCATCCATTGCCGAAGATCAACCTGAAGATGCTCTACCACCACTGCAAGGTTCTGATGATGCTGTTCCAGAACCTGATGAGAAAAGACCTCGAACTGGTAGTGCTCATGTGTCCGAGGATGATCTCGACTTCCTCGACTTCAACCAATGCATCCTGGACTCCAATGAGGGCTACATCATGGAGCTGGAACTGGACTTCTCCTCCAATCGTCAAAAGAAGTCCTTCATGAACAACCCGCAGGCTTTCCTAGTCAAGAAGCTTGCTGGCTCCGAGGTCTCCTTCCGCAAGCTCAATGGTGAGGAGCGCAGGTTGTTTGAGAATGCCAAGACTTCCGAGGTCTCTTCCTTCATCCGCACCGAGGCAGTCAGGCGTTGCTTGTCTTTCGAGGAGCTCCAGAAGGCCAAGAACTCTGATCGTGTACTTCGTGCCCGGTGGGTGCTGACCTGGAAGCAAATTCCTCCTGAAGATCGGCAAGAAGCTCTGGATGATCGTACTTCCAAGGGAGACCTGTCGGTTATTGACAAGTCTGGAACTCGCAAAGCAAAGGCTCGCATCGTGGTGCTTGGATTTGAACATCCTGACCTTCTTCAGTCAACATTTCGTTCTTCTGCACCAGTGCAATCACAACTGATGAGGAATTTATCCCTGGCTTTGACTGCTCAACGTGGTTGGATATTAGAAGGTTTGGACATGAGCACCGCATTCCTTCAGACTGGCAGTGTGGAAATGCAACAAGAAGAACTGTACACTTCGGGAGTACCTGAACTCAAGCATGCTCTTGGTGCCAACGAAGATGAAGTCCTTCGGTTGCTTCGCAATGTGTATGGCAATGCAACTGCTCCTCGCGGTTTATGGAAAGATTTGGACCGCACGTTCACCAAGTTGGGTGCTCACCGCATCATCGGCGATAGCAGCTTTTGGGTTTGGTTGCAAAAGAATCCTCATCCCCGCAATGAAGCTGACCAAATGGAAATCATTGGCTATGTTGGTGGTCATGTCGATGATTTCAACCGGAGTGGTGGTTTGGAAAACCCCGAATGGCTTTCCATTCGTGCTGCCATCGATAAAGCATACAAGTGGGGGACTATGAAATCACAGTCCTTTAGGCACACGGGCATCGACTTGCAAGTCTGCGAACACAACGATGAGCGATGGATACAGCTGTCTCAGGATTTCTATGCGGAATCTCTTACAGACTTGGCTATTCCGGTTCATCGTCTTCGTGATGATCCTGCTAGTCCTTTGAATAGATCTGAAATTGCTGCATGCCGAGCTTCTCTGGGAGCTATGCAATGGCTTGCTACGCAAACTCAGTTGCAGATTTGTGCGCGTGTGAACCTTCTCCTCACTGAGCTCACCACTTCTCCCACTGTCACTAGTGCCAAGGAGGTTCAAGAGCTCATCAAGGAGGTTCGTGGCAATCCCATCACTCTTCGACTTTGGCGACTTCCTGAAGTACAGCATTGGCAAGACATGTGCGTAATCACCTTGGCCGACCAAGCGTGGGGAAACAGACCTCAAGGTGGCTCCACTGGTGGTTACATCACTTTCCTGGATGGACCTCAGCATGTTCAAGGCAAAGCCGGTAGGCTTAGCATTGTGTCCTGGAAAACTTGGAAACTTCGCCGCAAGGCCATATCGACCAACGACGGCGAGATTCAGTCCATGCTGGAAGGTGAAGATGCAAATTTCCGCACCAGATTTTTGTGGTGTCAGTTGAATGGTTGCGTTTGCAAAGATGATCTACTGCAACATGCTACGGCCATGGTTTCATTCGTGAAGGGCATCAATGGTACAGACAGTCGTGGTGGTTTTGACGCCATCAACAAGAATGAAGGCCCTCTCCTAGGCCTCAGCAATGTTCGCAGTGCTCTTCAAGCATACCAACTGCGCGAACAACTTCAAGCATCTGATGGATCCTTGATTTGGATTTCTGGTGACTGGAATTTAGCCGATGCAATGACCAAGAAGAGCAAGGTAGCTCGTCAGGGTCTCATGCAGTACTTGATCAACTCCGTGTGGAAGCTCACGTATGACCCTGGATTCATTCAGAGCGAGAAGAAAGCTAAGGCTTCGGGTACATCTGCGGTTTCTCAAATGAGACTGTCACGTGCATCGCCCCTTGGTTTGATCAGACCGAGTGGTGAATGTCCAAGAAAATTTTGGACTGATGCAACAGCCGCTTTCAGGTTGGACATTCATGCATGTACATCCGCCTTGGCCGTTTTACCATTACAGGCCTTGAGCCCCGGCTCATCCCATCGAGTCAGAAAAGGCGTGACTGCCGCGCCATAGCTGGGAGCCTAACAGTTGGGCTTCATCATTGACCCCTTTGACTTTGTGACGACTTTTCCGTTTTGGGGTGAACCCCAAAACGGCTACCGCAGGTTCCCTATTGTACACGTGGGGAAGGCTCAGTGGTTTCAGATTCAAGCTACATGAAGCTGAACCTGGCACAGAAACACACAAACACAAACACACACACATCCTTTTGGACCTTGGACAACTCCAATTTTGCCAGGTCTGTTCTCCACAGTTGGGACGAGAAGCCAAAAGGAGACAAGACTCCAATTTCAGTCACATTCCCGATTGGCCTGAAATGATGAATGCGCCAGGCACCGTTCCAAGTCTTTCAGCATCCCAACGTCATCTCCTACGTGGGCATCATCGCCCACATCGGCCAGTCCTGCTCCAGCTGGGACCCTGCCAGAAATATTGTGGTCATGGAGGCCAGGACATGAGAGGCCTACTGCACTCTTACACGGACTTGAGGGTATGTGTCTAAGTGGGCCCCTGGCCATGCCAGAGCTCAGGTTCCAAACTTGGCGCCGGAAACATTGACAGTGATTCCGTGGGACGCTTGTTTTCCTCCTGAAGCATCACCCCACTCAACGTAAGCTGGGTAACAATAATATTTAAACACACCAAAACCGGGGGAAATTCCCAGGCTGTGCCCAACGGGGAGCTCTTCGATCTCATCACTGCGGAGGGGACGCCCATGACCGACGGCACCATGCGCCGCTTGGTGCATGACATCATCAACGGCATGGCGGAGCTATGCCCGGGACCCAGACCAGCTACAATTTAGGCCTCATAGAGATTCATTTGGGCCCCTGAAATGTCGACAAAATCTTTGACTTTCTCCAAACAAGGGCAGGGCAAGATACAAGGCCAAGAGAAAACGGCTGGTGCCAACCGGGCAAGTTGAAATGTTGTGATCCATTGTGCAGGCTTTTTGGTTGGGGGTCCCTCTGAAAGGGGCCAACGTTGCAATCCCTTTGCGGTGCGAAGTTTTCTGTATCCCTTGTTACAAGAACTGTCACAAGAACTGTGTAGGAGAGGTCCACGCGAAAGCGGAACTTTGGAGTCGTCGAGGCGTTTTTGGACTTTCGTGGGTGAGGCAAGCACGGCATCACACACAGGGACCTCAAGCCGGACAACCTTCTGATCGATGAGAATGGACAGGTGCGTTTTGCCAACGGCGCGGGAAACGGACGGTATCGGATTTGTTGCAAAATACCCCCAAAGCGAAAGCTGGTTTGGTTTGGGATTGATCGAACAGGGGATCACCGCGGGAAGGCTCACAGGAGCCAACTGTGTCCCAGCCTTCAGGTGGTGATCATCGATCTGGGCTGCGCCAATTTGATCCAATGGCTCCAGCAGGAGGTGGACATGAGCGCCAGCCCGGACCGCACGCCGCAGCTGAAGACCCAAGACTCCTCCAAGCTCCTTGGTTCCCACACCCAGAACCCCGGACTAAGTAAACTCGGCTTTTTGGAGGGCACTTCCCCTTTGGTGTTGTTTTTTGGTTTTAAGGGAATTGAAAACAAACGGAAGAGGGAGGTGTCAACATACATTGGGATTTAACAGATTCTGGTGGTTGTTTGGCGGTTCCCTTGAAAGAGAGAACCTGAAGAGTGTTTGCACTTTCCGTGAGCACATTTGTGCTGGTTGGTGTGTCGTTTTTATTTCTCTGGCGGTCTGCAATACGGTTTCCTGGGCTTTTAGTTGTTGGATGGTTGAATCAGAATGGGCTTCGTGTTGTTCCTCTTCAAGCCCATCTGAGTTTATGACATCTGGAAGCTTGAGCTTTAGCAAGGGATCAACAAACATTCAACAAACCGAGGTTCATGCGAGAGCAAACCTCCGCCATCGGTACAGACCTATACCATGCGCCGGAGCATGGGCAAAAGCTGCTCGGCGCGAAACAGCCCCCCCCCCACACAATTGAGGCCTGGCAATTACTTCGGCTGTTGCGAGCTGTCAAGAGGCAAACACACTACGTTTCACATGCAAGCTACCGCTTTGGGGGGGCTGGAATTGAGGATGTCACCCGACATGGGGCACAACGCTGCTGTAAGCAAAAGGCTGTTTGTTGAGCACCTTTATCACTTTGTTCTTCCTGGCATATGTTCCAGATGTTGCCTTTTGGTTAGTCCTTGTTTGTACCGGACGCAAACCAGAAACAAACAACGATGTTTGGCTGTTCAGACCTTTTGAAGTCACCCTGCGTGCCACCAGTTGCCACAGGTCGAGGCCAACTGTTGGGAACCAAGGACGTACGACTCTGAGAGGGCGGATGTCTTCACCACTGGTATCCTGATCTTTTTGCTGAAGCAGCCGATTCCGCCCTTCCACCCGTACTTCGGAGGCTCTTTGGCTAAAGTGGATTGACGGTCACGTGACTCCTGACTTCTCCACAAGCCAAGCTCCAAACTGGTGTGTTCAAGCCGCATGTTGTCTTGGCTCACTGCCCCATGTCCAATGGAGTTGGTCTCAAGGCCCTTTTGAGATGATGGCACGCTTAGTCTCCCAACACCCTGCGCTTCCAGGAACGGGTATGTGCGGGTTTGCAGGTCTTGGGCGCGAAGCAAGGTACAAGCGCAATCTGTCTTGAGCGTTTCGTTTTGGCGGATGCTGCCACACAGGCCGCAGCGCCTCCAAACTGCCGACACCCTGTCACCCTTGGGATCAGTGTGGCCGCAGGTAGCAGTTGGGTAGTTTTCCAAGCATTGCGAAGCTGTGGGGCCGTTTGGGACCATCCGTCCCAAATCATTGAAACATGTAACATACCGCTTTGAAACAGCCTGCTTCAAGCGCGCGGGCCAACATGCTGGAGCTAACAAATTCCAATAAGAAACCTGCTGGGAGCTACAAAAATCTACAGAAAGCTAAGGAAAGCTAACAAAAACTAGCAAAAGCTAAAAAAGGCTAACGCAGCAACTGTGCAGCAAAACAGTCCAACAAGGCTTTCAAGAGCATGAACTGGCAACAAAAAGAAAGTGCCTCATTATGAGGCAGTCCACCCTTAGGCCCGCGCCATGTTTGGAAGAACGTTCACTTGGGCGGCTGGGTGGCTGGGTCGCTTGCCTTTGTCCCCAAGATACGTTCAGTTGCTTGTGCGTTGAACGCACGAACGGCAAGATCACGACGGAGCCGGGCCTCTTACAAAGCACCTATGGAGACACCGCAGAACAATCCCTAGTCTTCGCTGGCCCCTTCACTGCTCGCTTGCCCATTTCTGCAGACATGTTACGGCTTCTCAGCTAAAACTGACAAAAGGCTTGCAGCCCCCCCAAAAAAGCAACTGCTGAAGTTTACAAAAAAGGCAACAAATGGCGCCAAAAGCTACGAAATGCTAACAAACTCTAACAAAAGCTAACAAATGCCAAAACATGCTATGGTTGTGTCTCGAGTTTGGTAGGCTTGGGTAGACACTGATCATTCCTCATGGTGTTATACAATTACAATTTTGGCTCAAGTGCCTTGAGCCAAACTGGCTAAGTGTATTTTCTTCTTCGTGCGCCCCATGCAGTACGCACGTCAGGGTGTTGATGTGGCGGTGCATTGCAAAAGAGGCCTTTCTTTCCGCGGGGGCCTTGCTGGATTTCAGGGCGCATGTTGAAGGCCTGCTCGCCCGGGGGGACCGGGCGGGGGCTCTGGTACTATGGGAGTCCGTGGTGGTTTTCATTCACGACCCACACATCCCTGATGCGGAGTTTGTTGTTGACGGGTTACCCCCCTTGGAGGAATGCCCTTGCACTCTTTCCCCATGCCCACGATGTGAGCAAGGTAGGGGGGTTTCCATTTCCCGTGGCTCGGGATTTGGACTCGCCGTAGTGTTCTGGCCCAGCCTGGAGCGTCACCGGCCGAAGTGTGGAGTGGATACCATGCTAACCTGGAGAGGTTGGATCTCCTGCTCCTGGCGCCACTTGCGTCCGGGAGGATGCGGGCGGATTTCTTGCCCGAGCATGTGGAGCGGTTGCTTCACTGGGTGGATGCCTCCCCTCAGGGCGGACTCAGCCGCGGAGCGATTTTCGCGGCTTGGCGCCGGTGGCAGTTGGGGCGGCCCTGCTGGAGGGAGGCGTTGAATTTTTCCCACCGGTGTGTGTCCCTTTGCCAATCCCTACGTTTGCCACTCGCAACGGCCGCTCAGTATGCCCGGACTGCAGCAGCAATTTTGGGCTTGGCAGCACCTAGCGCCATGGCGCAGGAGCACGGAATCTATGCCCGGATGGCCATGGAGGGGGACACTTCCTGGACACCGGAGAGCGCTTTGGACAAAGCCTCGGCTGCGCGGGTCCAGGAGTGGAGACGCGAGCGCGGGCTGCTGCACGACAAGGACTTCGCCTTTGCCTTCAGCACCTACGAGCAGGCGAAGCTCCAAGGTGATTTCGGCCTGGCTGATCGCTGGCTGGCAGCTCGAGCAGCACAGGAGGAGTCTTTGGTGCCGGATGCGGCTCGGGTGATTGAGGGTGACCACCGGGGCTCGGTGCGCCCCTCATCATCCGCGGCGGCTTCTGCCCTGGCAAGGCATCGGGGAGTGAGGCTCACTCCTCGAGAGCCGCAGCCAGAGGTTGTGGCGGAGCAGGCGGTGCGGTTGGGCCCTCAGGCCCTCTGGCCATGTCAGTACCTTGCTGCGGGCTGAGTGGCAGGCGGCGTGCCAGCGATTGGGCCAACAGCTCATCAAGCGAGCAGAGAAGGTGACCGTCCAGAATGCTTCGCGGACCTGGGCGGAGCTCGAGGGCTTCCTTCAGCAGCGAGGGCGGTCCTTCCCACCGGAGCTGTTGGACCTGGAGGTGTTCATCACTGAGGCCACGCCCGCACCGGCTCGCTCGTTGGCAAGTTTGCGCTGGATCTTACCAGGCCAAGGTCAACATGGACTTGCAGATGATCCAGTTGCCCCGACGAGTGGCATCTCGGCCTCACAAGCGTGGCCAGGCAGCGGCGATGGAGCCCAGTATGGTCAATCACCTGGAGCGGCGGATCGTCCAGATGTTCGAGGCTGGCGAGGAACGCTGGTCCGCGCTTCTGGGTGGCTGGTTGGTCATGTCGGGAGTGCTGCGCTACAAGCATGTGACGATGGCCGAGCCACGCAAGATTACGCAGAGTGCCGTGCACGCCCACTGTCCCAAGGGGAAGCAGAAGAAGCTCCGCCAAGGGTTCAGCTTCATGATCCCGAGCACTTTCCTCAGCGGCTTCCCCTGGGCTGAGGTGTTCCTCGAGGCATGGAAGGCTCTTCCACGGGCGGCCCAACGAACCTTGGGCCTTTGCTTCGCACGGGACGGACGGCCATGGGCGTTGTCTGAGGTGAACCTGGTTTTGCGGGCTGAGTTCAACTCGTACTTGGAGGACGCCGATGCCCTGAGCACCTACTCCTTTCGCAGGGTGGCACCAACGCTTGGTTCCCTTCTCAAGTTCTCCGGCACGGAGCTTTGTGTTCTTGGCGACTGGCAGGACCGCAGCCAATTGGGCGAGGAGTCTCGCATGCCCATGCACTACTCCGGCGCTCGCTACTTGCTGAGTTTCACTTCGCTCGGAGCAGTACCCGGAGGGCCTACCAGGCCTGCGGGGCAGGGACTTGAATCGAGTCTCTGTCGACAACCAGGCCTGTGCATGGGTTTTGGGGGAAATCGAGCAGCTGGAGGTGCGCGAGAACCCCGCCCGAAGCCTACACTGGGCTCTGCCCCAAGAGCAACGCATGTGGCAGTCAGGGCGATGGCGCGACAAGACCTACTCTGCGTGTGTGCTGGGTGGAGCTCGAGCCAAGTCGCAACGACTGCGCCACAACCTGGACGAGATCGACGCTGGCCCCCCATGGCTTGCCATCATTCTCACGATCCCAAGGAGTGGGAGCATGTGGAGCGCGCTACCGGCCGCTTCTACCCGAGCAAGGAGGAGGCTGAGTATACGGCCCCGTTGTGCTTTGCTCTGGCGGTCGCCGCTTCATGGTGGGCGGTGCGAACGGGCAGAGCAGTGCTGCGAGCCCCCCGGATGCCCACGGTCGAGTGTGTGGGTCGCAGGGAGGACTGCTGTTGGACCCGAGCGTGAGTGGGCTATGGCACCGGTCGCCCTGTCCCTGGGGCTTCGCTTGCGGGGTGCCCAGGCGCAGGGGTTACCTGTGCGGGCGCAGGCTCAGGTCCAAATGGGCGGCCAACGAGATCCCAGGTATCCACTGTGGCGGAGACGATTGGTTGCCGCATTATGTGGCCCACATCCACCAGTCCGGCCTCTTCGATCAGTTGGAAGAGATGGAGGGGATGACGTTGGTGTGCGACTGCCCCATGGAGGTCCCATGCGAGGCGGACATCCTGATCGGCCTTCTCTTTGAGCGGCGGTTGCAGAGCGGTGAGCCGGGGCGCGGTTCTGGCTCTGTGAGCCGTAGGCGTCCCAGGAGAGCCGTTTTGGCAGCCTGGGGGGGGATCCCAGGCGCCCAGGCGCTTCCACGCAACTTGCAGAAGCATTCTCAGGAGTCGCTTGTGGCTCGTTTCCGGCGACTGTTTCCCCATGAGTGACTTCAGCACACCACTTTTCCGATGATCGAGGACCTCGTCAATTCGTTCCCCTTCTCTGCTTTTACCGAGTGGTGCGAGGACCAGGAGCTTGATGTTGATGGTCCGATGGGGCCGGTGCTGGCCACACAGCACGTTTTCGACAGATTGCCGCAACGGGCCGGCAAGCTGGAGCCCTGAGCCACAAGGCCGCGCTCCCGCCACTTCAGGCGGGTGAGCCTACACCGGATGAGCACTTCGACCACGCCTGGCACAGGCGACAGGATCGGGCGCCTTTGGAGGAGGAGCCCATGCTGGACGCGGACCTCCGCTTTGCAGCTGCATGTTGTGCCCCGGCCCGCTGGCGAGGTCAGATGATCGACCTTCGGCAGCAAGCGGCGGGAGCCTTGCGGGAGCTGAAGCAACGCTGGCAAGGCGTCACGGCTACGTTGCGGGAGCGGCAGCCGGCAGCAATCCGCAGAGTGACAGCCCAGCGGGACGTGGGTTTCACGGCTCTTCTGATCATCCTGAGTTCGTGGCCGGATGTGTCCTATCCGTATGGGTTGGTGTGCGGGCTCCCGGCAGTTGGCTATGCGCCCCCCTATGGCATCTTCCCTGAGCAGGAGGCACGTCGCATCCCTTTCGAGGAAGTGGTGATGGGGGCAGAGGCCAACAACCAGCGGATCTTGGCCACCTTGCGGGCAGGCAAGGACGATGTCTTTCTCCTATCTCAGTCCACCCTGGATGCGGAGCGAGGCTTCTGCACCTACCCGATGCGGCGCCGAGAGCTTCTTCAGGCGGTGAAGGGAGCTCCCTTCCGTTTAATACCCAGGTGTGTTATCACACAGAGCTCTGGCAAGCAACGTATAATCGACAACGC